GGGGGGGGGGGGGGGGGGGGGGGGGGGGGGGCTAATAAATAATAATAAATAAAAGGAAAGAAAGGAATAGTAATATTATAAATAATCATTGGATGTGCAATTACGGACAAAGTGACATTTAATTTGTCAGAGTTTGTCCAGACGTTGTTGCATGGATTGTAAGCGCGAGGGACCGATCGCAAATGTAAAGTGCCGCGAAGGTTTTACATTAGCATGGGCTGGTTGGGGAAGCCGCCGTCACTCCCCGGCATTAAGGAGTCAAGCGTCCTAGGACACGGAGGATGAACCAGCCACCCCCGTCGTACAGGAGCCCCAACTCTCTTCGTACAAGAGCCAAGTAAGCGGTAACAGTAAGCGCAGTAAGAATAATCGAGGACGGTAATAACGGACGGGGGCAGCCCTGCCGTCGGGTCGTCGGACTCCAGGGGCGTATCCCGACGGCGGCGGCGTCGGCGTCGGCGGCGGCGCTCGATCGGCTCAATCCGCTTCGAACGTCGCGGGCTTTCGAGCCTCGAGCCGAACGCGTCAATGAGCGCCGCTGCGCAGCGAGATTGGCCGCGGCGCGCTTCCGCTGGTGGGGCATCGACCCGTCGGCGGCCGCTCGGTGCTCGTCTCCTCGGCGCCGGCGGCTCGCGCTAGTTCCCCCCCTACCGGCGCCACCAATGCACGGCTAGCTACGGGGCTCCGGCTGCGCCCGACCATTGGTCCTCGATTGTGCCGACCAATCATTGGGAAAGTGTGCCCGACGAAAATATCCAATGTAAGTCGACAAATTATCAAAGAGCGCGGCAAGAGCGAGCGGCCGCCGAAGCCCCGGACGGGCCATCCTCGATCGCGAGCTTCGTTGCGGGGACGCGGCGCCTCGGTCCGGGCGCACCGGAGACGCGCGTCTACGGCTTAAGCTGACGCGCCATGTTATTCGCTTTGACTCCGCTTTGTAACAGCGACGCTTTTACGAAGTCGGCAGGGCCCCGTCGAGAGGAGCCTCGTCATCGCGATCACGATGCAACGAGGCGCGTGCGTGTGTTCGGGTCGCATCGGGACGGCGACTGCTCACCACCAGGTGCGAGCTGGACGCGGAGCCACGGAGGAGAGTTTCGTGATCGTGCGCGCCCACCGGAACAAAGAGCGGGCCCTGAAAGAGAGCGAGAGAGAGAGAGAGAGAGAGAGAGAGAGAGAGAGAGAGAGAGAGAGAGAGAGAGAGAGAGAGAGAGAGCGAGCGAGCGAGAGAGAACGTTGGAGAATGAAAATGAGCGAACGAACGAGTGAGTGAGTGAGTGAGCGAGCGGCGGACGACGATGAGGAAGACAAGGAGGTGGTGAGGAGGAAGACAAGGAGGTGGTGAGGAGGAAGACGCGGAGGACGAGGAGGGGGAGGAGGAGGAGGTGGAGGAGAAGGAGGAGGAGAAGGAGGAGGAGAAGGAGGAGGAGAAGGAGGAGGAGGAAGGGAACGGCGCATGGGGACTTGTCGACGTAGACGCGCTTCTGCTGCCGCAACCGCCACCGCCACCGCCACTGCCACCGCTCCGTCGTCGCCGCCGCCGCCGCCGCCACCGCCACCGCCACCGCCACCACCGTCACTGCTGCTGCTGATGTTATTCTGGCATACGCTTGGAATTCCTTCTGCTCGGGCGCGTGTACGCGGTCAGGATCTTTTTGAACCTATTTGCGAAATTCTTAACATCGCCATCGGCTCGCGCCTTATGCGCCTTATCATTACGAGGTTATGAGTCCTGATTTATCGTCCAACCGAGTCTTTTGCACTGACACTTGCAACCGACGTACATACATAAGTGCATGTGCCCTCCCGTATCCACGCCTGATTTCCATAGATATACGTCATACGCAATATATGTGCGAGCGCGATACTCTATGCGTGAGTACCTACGTACGTATATTAGTTGCTTATATTACAGGCAGCAGATAGCAAACTTGTAAATTGCTTCCAGTTATAATGTCATTTACCGTTTCGCTTGTGCAATTACATGTTAATACGTGTCCCCAGCAGTGTGCCTTATGCAGCACTGCTCCTTGGCACGATACAAGTCTGGCAACGCACATGTATATGATTTTAAAAATTCTATTACAGAAATAATCGTGAATTGGCCAAAAAGTCATGTTTAATGTGGAAGACAGTTTTTCAAATCATTGCATTCGATAATGCGATGAGATGTTTTTCTGGTTGATATGTTTTTAAGACTGCTGCGTGATTGATTGTTTGTTGGCAAATTAAATTGTTCATCGAAAGTTAATTTAGTATACGTAGATTATGAGATATTAGAGAAGTTAAAACGCCCAATGTGTGCTTAAGTAAAAGTTCCGTTTGCTTTATTGTATTATTTTGTTATATTTGAGCGACTATTTTCTAAATTGTGCTACTTACACAATGGGAATTATGGCAAGATTTTATATCGATAATAATGGATTTATTGTATTTTAGAGCTTGAAACGATGTTAGTGATTAGGTTAAAAAGTTTGTATGTCTGCTTAGTAGGCACGAGGGAGAAAAAGATTTATCTTCGACTCTCGATGTAATATGTTGGCCCGCGTTCCATCGCTTGTCCAATAATATAGAAAATCGTTCGTTTTAGTATTTAAATCGCAATGGATCAACTGGGAGAAGGTCAAACGGTGATGGTTGGCGGAGCTGGTGGAACGGTACAAGTTGTACAAATGGGCCAAGGTGGCCAAGCTATGATGCTGCCACAAGCGATTCAGGTAGCTGCACCCAATGGCCAAATTCAAGTAGTTCCAGTCTCGAGTTTGGCTGGAGCTGGACAGCAAATAGTCATTCAACAACCGCAAACGCCACAAATTATTCAAACGCCGGATGGTCAAACGTATATCTACCAACCTGTACAGCTAGAAGGTCAAGTCCAGCAACAGGCTCAACCTACCGGTAAATGCACATGTCTCCTTGACCTTTTCGCACATTTGTATTCGAGAAATTATCGACTACCTGCATTATTTCTTACCAAAGACTACTTGATATCTAAAAACGAGAGACCTCAAATAGTTAATAAATGATTGCAGAAATATACATGTCATAGGTCTCTTTCCAATATTGTCACGTATGTTTGTTCTTTAATTTCAGTTATAAATATCAATGGAAATTTAATGCAAATAGCCAGTCCAACTACGCAGACAACCACCACAGCTGCCTCAACTCCGGTACAGCAGATTTCAACTCCAACCGCCGCTGCGACACAGGCAGGAAACATTGTCATGGTGATTATAATAAAAAGTCTCTTTCACTTACACAGTCCGTGTATAAATATTATACAGACTTGTAGTGAGTATAGAGCAACAGTGCATGCGCTGTAAATACTTTGATGCATTAGTCAACGTTAATTTAAAGTGTCAAGTTAGCAATGTGTTACAATTCATATGTTTCGATCAATCAAAAAATCAATTACTTAAAATAAATATCGACGCGTCACCGATATTGTTTTTGCCAATAGAATATATAAATATTTAACTGAAATATATTGTAAAATTGAACGGCGATTTCAATTACACCTATTTATTCGATTAATTTTTCATCCATCTTTAGTGCTAATAGTGGATTGTGTTTAAGGATAAAGAAATTTAATCAATCGAAATAGCCAAATAACTTGCCACTTCTTATATGTTTAGTAATTTTCATTGTACAGAATTTCAATAATTTGCTTAATTTCCTTAAATTACTCCGAATTGTTATTATCAGTTAATTTTATTCCTAAATAATTATCAACTATTTCAAAACTCTTGAATAATTAACGTTTAATTATCTTATTATTGTGCAGATGGTACCGGGTAACAGTGGTCAACCGCAATTCCAACGTGTGGCTCTTCCAAATGCTGAATTTTTGGAAGAAGAGCCACTTTACGTTAACGCCAAGCAATACAGACGCATTTTGAAGCGCCGACAAGCAAGAGCAAAACTTGAAGCCGAAGGAAAAATTCCTAAAGAGAGACCTGTAAGTACAGTACCATAATAATTACTACCATAGAGTTGCGTATAAACATTGAAGAATCCAAAGCTTATATTTATAACGAATTTTAGAAATACCTTCACGAATCGCGACATAGACATGCGATGAATCGAATTCGAGGAGAAGGAGGACGTTTTCACTCTGGTCAAGTTAAAAAAAGAAGGTGAATTGAAGCTACTGTTTAGAATCTAGAATAGGCTTAATTTTCATCTTTTTAGTGCTAAAAACTGTCCCGATATCTTTTATTGTCTGCGTTTGTGAATATGTAGTAACTTTTACAGTAGAGTAAACAACAATGCAATGATGACTCAGCACATTGTAACTTCAACTAGTAACACTATTCGGACTATAACAATACCAGCGTCTAGTGCAGGAATACAGCACAATACAGATAACATGACGCCCACTATTATCATTGAAGTAATAATAATATTATTTTTAACGAAGTAAAAGCATTAAGTAATTTATTAATTAACACGAAACTTTATTCTTAATTTATTACTTAGTATGTCAAGTTATACGTATTATTAATATATAACTTTATGAAACGCAAATAACAATGAAAGTAGTAACTGACATACTAATTGATATTTTAAGGTTATGTTTAATGAAATCAATTCAAGAAAAATCAATAAATTCTATTTTAAATATTTTTTTTATTTTTAAGTTAAGTCTTTATTTTTGGTGCTTTTACTTTTTTTTTCCTTTTTTTTTTTTTTTTTTTGTTGCAAATTATATTAATAGTTGAAGGAGATTTAATCATGATAAATATTTGTTTGCAGAATGGAACTGGTAGAGATATCTTACCAGACATGATTAGTGATGGAACGTTAGTGGATATAAAATAAGATAGATTAATTAAATACATACATTATTAAGAACATACGCGTGATTTTATGTTTCCGAAGAAATGTATAATTTATCGGAAAATTCAGGAAAATAATAGTTTTCTATACCATCAGCAATATAACGTAAAGTGCAGACGATGTATATACTTATTATTTTGATGCATATCGTTTTACGTTTCGATGATTGTCGATGGTACTAGCTCCGAATAGAAAATTTCATTAAATACAATAATAAACAAATAACTCGTAAATTAATTGTTTTCAATTATATATATATATATATTTTTTTTTTTTTTTTTTATATTAGGGAAGTTTGTTTATAAAAATTATAGCATAATGTAATCCTGTTTTATAAATCCCATAATTCAATGAGAAAAATGAAGTTATGCTATAAATTTAAAAAAAAAAAAAAAAAAAAAACATTGACCCGAATAAGTATCTATTTATTCATTTTCTTATAAAAATGGGATTTTTAAATAAGGAGTTGTGCATTTCAAAGAATTTGAAATGATCATATTGTGCAACGAAAAAATTCAGTTTCGAATTATGAGACTGATACATAATATAATTTATTAACATCACCAGTGCTGGGTAATTCATTCTTTACTTCTACTTTAATCTATTATTTTTTGGCTTCCATTGTAAAAAATGTAAATGAGGAGCTATTTTCATAAATTAAGCATATACAATAATGATTGCAAGTACAATTAACAATAATTTTAAGTACCAATTGATTTAAACATTGAGCTGTTACTACTATCACTAAGTGGTTTAAGTAACAAGTTTTTGTACTGATTTAGATAAAGATATTAATGCTGTAGAAAAAATCTGAGTACAAGAAGAGTCAAATTTTATTAAATTTGTCCTTTACTCTTATTGTAATAAGACTTTAAATTAGTTATTTTTTTGAAAAACAAGATTTCTTTTATATTGTATACAATATTTAATGTGACTCTTCTTGCTACTTTTGTAAATAGGTGTTTGCATGTTGGATGATTAAATGATTGTTTTGTAAGAATGAGTGAATAATACTTGGAAAAATATTCTTAAGAAAATGAGATATAAGTAAAGATAATATAATGCATATAGTAAAATTCTTTTGTAATGATTCTCTAGTAAATGACTAACTAGATGACTTGATAATTGTATATTAAAAAAAAAGAACCAGTTGAAATTTTTATTTTGCATTATTGATTGTTTATTTTCATTAAATTATTTTTGACAGTATATGATTATTGGAAGAATTCATTAAAATATCTGAACAAATTGATTTTGCGCTACTTGGTCTTTCATTGTATTTCTTGGATGTTTTGATAGGTCGTGGTGGACCATAAAATTGTTCTTTCATTATTTTATGACCAAGTTTACTAATAGTTTCATGATACTCAGAATTTTCAGTTCTTAATTCAATACAAAATAAATATAATTAATTCAATTAACGACTAAATTACAGTTATTATATAATATTCATAGATTTAGAATATTTTTTAAATAAAATTTTCGATCGACATAAATTTAAAGAAGATTTTTTGCCCATTAAATTAGTTTTCCTAATCTAAAATCATAATAATATATTATCGATTTGAAAATCAAATGGATGTAATTTTAATAAATTATTTTTATTTGATATCATATGGTGATAAATTTATTAAATTGCCTAAAAAAACATAATTAAAGAAAAAACAAAAATGTCACTGACTAAAATCCAAAATGTAATTCAGCTAACCTGACTTGAAGTATTTTTCTTTCATTTTCATTATACTGCAAATTATTATAAGGTCTTATAGGTATAGATTTTTGAATTCTAGAGTTGAAAAATTTCCTTGGATCTTTAAAATTTTTCTTTTGAGTAGTCTCCGCTATTATATGATTATCTGGTAAAGTAATGTTTATAGACTGTATCTCATTCGCTGAATCGTGTCCATCTATTAATTAAAAAAGTCTTGTTACGAAGAAATAATTTTATATAATTATATATTTAAATGAAAATGTGATTAGATATTGATATTGATAGACTGAGCCCAGAGTGCGGATTATGAATTTTATACCAACGAAGGTTAAATTCAAACTCTTTCAAGTATAAAATGAAAAATAAATTTTTCGTAATTAATCATTCTTTCTTATAAATGATAATGTTTATACTGTTAATGTGTTTAAATTTTATATTTAAAAACAAATTTACGTATAAAATTTACCGAATTTTATAAACACATAAATACAGTATTGATTTTATCAATTTGTATCCTAAAAATTAGTATCTAATGCAACAAGTATATTTTTATTAATGAAAATGTGAATAAATTCCTTCATAATATACCTCCAGCATTTATTAGCCTTAAAGCGACCATATTTTACAAAATGTACAGTAGTACTATTTACAAAAAAGAAATTACAAAAAAAAAAAAAAAAAAAAAAAAAAAAAAATAAAAAATAAATAAAATATTTATGCTTGGAAGAGTTAATGCATAAATGTTACAAAATTTATTCAATTATGAATAGATATCGTTTAATATAATATAGTAGTGCAGTTCTTGCTTGAATCCTTCGAAAAATGATTTTGGTACTCGGTTGCGAAGAACTTATTTTGTTCCCTCTCGACGAGAGCCTCATCCGGAGGATCTTCTGGTAAGGACTTTTTCAAATACGAACGCTCGCTTCGCACCTATGTACGATGTATAACGCAGACGATATAATAAAAGTATTTTGTTAATAAAATATGTTTATAAAAATTAATATTATTTTTTAATTAAACCGAATTTATATTTCAGTACATATCAATTATTTTTTTGTCGATAAAGTATGTGTAAAACTATTCGTCGAACAAACTTGTAACTGACGTGCTCTTAATTGCACATTCCAAGTCCACTTATTTCAACATAATCGATGGATTTTAGGATCTTAATGAAGTGGATAATTTTTTTATTTATATACATATATTACCTTCATTAATGTACGTACAATAATTTTGACATCCACTTAAGGTATGTGCTTTAATTAGTAAAGCTAAACAAATATATTTATGCTTAATAAATAAAATATTTATTTTATTATAAAAAATTATGTATTTATTGTGGACGAAGAATTGTTACTGCTGCATGGATTCGTCGTATTAAGGTTGAAGATATGTCGATGTCGTTAATTTTCAACTTTATGAGAACGATATTTATAAAATTAATTTTATAATTGAAAATTCCTTACGTTTTTCCTTTACTTTTCAATCATGTTCATTTATTCATTTTAACAAAAGGATCATTATTACTCATTCTAAATTATCACTAACGGCATTTTGTTCTTTCTATGATAACAATAATTTTTATAAATTGATTTTACAAAGTAATTTACACGACAAACGTATATACGATGTGAAATAAATTATTATAGAATAAATAATGGTTTATCTAAAAGAATAAAATTTTTTAATACTTTTCTAAGTAACTTTTATAATAATTCGCTATCGTATTAGACAATTTTATCTGCATTTAATTAAAAACATTAAAATATGAAAAACAAAAACAATGCGATACATCAATATGGTTATTTGTAATAAGTAAAAGTACGCTCAATATTCATTAAAGTAATTAAATCTTACAAACGTGTCATTATTTCGTACGCTTTTAAATTTTCAATCGATACAGATCGCTTGTTTTGGCATTTGGTTAATAAATAATTGCAAATGTAATTTTGAAAAGAATTCATTTTATAATCTTACTTTATTTAAAAAATAAATTGCAGTTTCTGTACGCAAACGTGGTGGTAAACATTTATTTTTTGTTGTTGTATTAAGGTAATCTTTAAACGGATCTAATAGACAATTTGATTCAGTGGGAACAAATAATTTAGCTTTGAAAGAATTTTTAATTTTTTTTGGATAATACTCTTTTGTATAAACACTATTTAAATTATAAGTATCGTCTTCTACTTCAAATATCATTTTTTAAATTATTTTATGAAAATTTATTCACGACCAATTATTTTTTGTTAAGGAAAGTTAAATGCAGGTTATTTAAAATTTAAATTGACAATCACTATGTTGCCATAATATCATTGAAATGTATAAAGAGTATTTTTTATTTTATAAACAAAATTTATTATATAAAAAGTTAACTTATTGCATGAAATTTATTTGCACAATAGAAATAATGCGTATTTATTTAGTAATTATTTTTTATTTAACAATTTTTTTCTTCTTAAAGTTATTTCAAAATCAAATTTATTAACAATAATAAATATTATCTATGAGTGTTACGTATGATACTGTGATTTATTATTCATTCGGGCTAATACTGGAAAATTTAATACATTTTTTGTAATTGAAATTCACCATTCAAATACCTTTTAGTCTGCTATTACTGTATTACACTTAGGTTTCACAGATATTTTTTCTGCGTTTTTTAAGATGTGGTTTTTGAGTATTTTTCATTATAATATTACTACCAGTGCGTCCATAAGTGTCTTGATAACTGGATAATTGTCTTTGCGACAAGGCAGGATTTATATAACCGTATACTGAAATGAGTATATAAATTATAGTTACATAATCATAAAAAAAATTATAATAAGCATCTTAATATTTCCTATTATAATAAAGTAAAGTATAATAAAATTATTGCAGAATAATAAATGTAGAATTTTTTTCATAAGATATGTGAAATAATAAAATAGAAAATATAATTTGATAAATAAATAGAATTATAATCTGAAATATGCAATAATAATTATATATATATATATATATTTATCCTTAATAATTTCATGCATATAAACAATATTCATATTATTTATAATATTTACTCTGTATGTATGTTACACACGCGCGCGCGCGCGCGCACACATATGTATTTATTTTTCTAAAAACTTTAAAAATGTTAAATAAAATCTGTTAATAATTTTATAATATAAATATAATTGGGTTGTATATAATAAACATTGAGAAGAAATGAAATAATCTTACGTCTTGTTGATGTATACAGTACTCTAGTATACTTTTCCGAAAGTGGTTTATAATATAAATTTGTCAAATAATTTTCTAATTCATTTTCAAAATCTGTCGTTTGTATCTGTTCTTTATCTTTTTGATTAATTTTTTTGTCGAAAAATAATTGATAAGTAGTTTGATAACTTTTTAAAATATTGTTCTTGATTAATTCTTTAGAGTTTATCTCTACATCAATTTTTGATTCTAGCGGAGTTTCCCAATCCAGTATCGGAACGTATCTGAATTATTTATAGAAAATATTTTCTTAAATATAACTATGATTTTGCATAAATTTATTCTTATTTTATAGTACTCAATTTGATTTCGTATATGTATTATATATACACATTTGTTTTATCAGTATTACATTTTAGTTATATTGGATTAAGCAAGAAGGTTGATAAAACTTTAGTTTCTGGTAATAAACTATATGAAGTTATATTAATATGATTATAAAAATAATTGAACAAAAAAAGGAAACTAATTATATCATGCAGAAAAAAAAAGATAATAAATATAAATAATTAAAATATATAATTTATATAAGAATCGTTTTAATATTAATATATACGTATTATATATATATATATATATATATATATATATAAATTCTTATTTCTTCCAATTTGATTAAAAACACGATTAATTATTAAAAATTACATTTTCTTTCAGAAATGCTTTAGAGTAGTCAATAATGTTATGTATGTATTTCTCCAATTGGTCAAATCCAATTGAGTAAAAAAATTAGAATACTCTCTGGAGTGTTAAATTCAACCATATAAAATCTGCTGCATATGCATGATCTCTTCGGTAATATCAAAAGTAGGCGACTGATGTTAAATATTTTTAACATTATGTACACATAATGCAATTTATAATTCGCAAACCGATACATTTAGGTTTACTCAAATATTATACGAATTCATTTTTTTTTAAAAAAAAAAAAAAAAAAAAAAAAAAAAAAAGATTTCCCATTGAAAAAATGTTACTTATAGTTGCTTATGTGTACGACATTCGGTAATTAATAATGAAATTTCTATTAAATATCGACGGTTCATTAATCTTAATACACCTATAACGTATATTTTAAAAGTATAAATTTAAGTTTTAATAGGTATTTGAAAATATATAATACGATGAATAATAAATTCTTTTCTCATTATTGTCAATTGCATTCAATTATACAAATGAACAATAATATATAATACAGATTTACTTCGCTCTTATAAATATGCATTTAAATTAAATGCTATGTGAATAAGGATAATTTTCTTGATTGTTATATTATATGCATAATAAATCAAGTTAGATACAAAATACAATTTATTCGATTAATATATTTTTATTTATATGTCGGCTTAAATATTTATATATAATTGTAATTAACTTGCTAAGTAAATGCTGAAATTGTACAAAATGATTATATTATTCGATTTTAAGTGCTTTAGACAAGCTTTAGACATGATTTATTTTCCCTAAATTACTAATTTTTGTATGAATAAATTCTGTACTTAAATAATAGTGAAAAATTTTCCATTATATATTTAATAATGTTAATTCATAACAAACTAATTACCATGGTATATTATCTTTTATATTGGTGTGTTATTAGATAATATATTAAGAATTTTTATTTATTAATTGCTTATGTCATCGATCGTTTTTTAAATATTAATTTACTTTGTATAATTTAGTATTAACGATTTATATATATATATATATATATATATATATATATATATATATATAAATCGTTAATACTAAATTATACAAAGTAAATTAATATTTAAAAAACGATCGATGACATAAGCAATTAATAAATAGGATAATTTGGTTTCTACATTTTACATAAATACATTTATCATTTTTTATTATTATTACTTACTGCTGTAGTTTTTCAATTTTTTTAATTGTAAATTCATGTTGAAACTCCGAAGGAAACGCATTCAAATGTTCATTCATTTTATTTTTGTAAATCTATAAATGAAATAATTTAACTGCAATTTGCATATGTGCATAGGGCAATATTTTGCCTCTCCTAATCTTTTGAAACTTGCAGCATTGATCATAACCTCAATGTAAATAGATAAATGCATGATTTTTCCGGAATCGCTTACCAGTTTTATACCGAATAGGCCTTAAGTGATAATAACAAATGTTTTAAGATGGTCGTTCTAGTTTTTTCACAGTTAATAGCTTTTAAACATGTCAAGCCGGGAGGTTGTACATATAATTTACTGATGAGAATTAACAACAACTTGGTGAGATATAAGATGAAAGTTTTTTTTTTGAAAACAATTGGAACGTTTATTATTTGTACATAACCTTTTTTGAATAAAAATATAACTGATGTATTTGTATAGTGTTAATTTAAAATAAAATAATATGTTTTTATATTCAAATTGTTTAAATTCATAATTGAAGTAAATATGACTTTTATCGACCCTTCCACTTACAGTTGAAAAAAGATGATGCTTATATGTTAACAAATAATTATTAAATAATTATTAAATAATTGATTTATGTTAATTAATTTTTTATATAAATTACAGAATAATGGTTGTTTATATTCGACAGAAGTTAGTAAAAAAATAGATGCAAATGATTTAGACGCAAATGAAAATACTAAAATGAGTAAAGCTATGAAGGCTTATTTAGAACGAGCTAAAGCATACGGTATATATTTCTTTAATTATTTAATACGATAATAAGATATTAATTATAAATTAATGTTACAAAAGAGCGATTAAATATTAAGAAATAGAAATTAAATTTTAATCGAAAAGTTAAAACATTTATTTATATAAATGACATAATTGATATTGGAATATTGTAGATAATGATGATAATTAATTTGTATTATTTAATTTAGTTGACGCTACAAAATATATTTTTTTTTTTAGATGATTTCATTAAGACAGAAGAAAATAATTATAATCTTGGAAAGTTGCATTTATCAAATATGATGGGAGTAAAATCAACAAATTTTACACAAATTGATGTCGATGTAAATAAATTATTTTTTATATTAAACATTTGATTTTTTTAAAATTGAAAATATTTATATAACTTTTGTAATACTATAGAAAGCAATTAGATATTTATTTCCATCGGGTTTATATGACAAAAAAGCAAGACCTATTATGAAACATCCGAAAGATATTTTTCCAGTAAAAAAAGCAGCACAGTTCGATTCGACAGGGAGACCATATCACTCAATGTTCTATACTACAAAGCCACATTATTATAAAGCACTCTATGTAAATATTTTAACAAGTGTTATACGCAATACTGTTTTGAAATTATATCTAATTGATTATATCTAATTGATTTTCAGGATGTTGTTGAGTGTATGCATTTATTAGATGCCACAGAAGATAAATTAATAAAAAATGACAATCATATTTTGGTTCCAATGTAAGATTAATTATATAATTTTATAATATAAATATAATTTGGTTTTATTTATTTATTTATTTTTTTTTTTATAATGGAAGAATTTATTTTCTAGAGATTTGTCGAATTCTCAATGGGTAAATCAGGAGAATTTAGAAGGACTATTAGTGGAAAAAATTTCCACCGAGCAAGTAAGGCAATAGATGTTTTATTTAATAAAATATATAATGACTAAGTGACTACTTTAAAATACATATCAATCGCGTTAATTCAGCATTTAGTCTTATTAAACATTAAATAATAATATAAAATCAAATGCATTCTGCTAAATGTTCTATATCATCATATTATTTAATTATTTAATGTTATTTATATTCAATAATGTTTTTCAGTATGAATATTTTATTTCATCCATTGAAAAATTATGCCAGCATCCATTAGCAAATGACGTAAAAGATTTTATTATGATATATAGAAAATTAAAACAGTCTGTTATGCAAAATTCGACGATTCCAGAAGTAAGTGATTCATTTACTTTAATTTCTTCTTGTTATTATTATTTTGAAAGCTCGTATGTTTGTAAAATACAATAAGGGAATTAATTTTGTTCTAACAATGTGCAAATGATAAATATAATTAATATATTAGATACAGTATTAGAAAGACTATTAAAATAAATAATTTGTATTTTATTAAGTTTTGCTTATGTATCGAGCATTTTTACATTACTGTTTTGTAGTTTCGACATCATAATTATTTATCAAATATTATTTTTTATTTCGACGACATTAAAGCGATATGTGTAACTTAATTATGTCTGCAATAATGTTATCATGATATTAATTAAAAAAAAAATGTTTATAATATTCATAGAAAAGAAAAATTGTAATGCGTACAAATATTTTAAAAAATTAATTATGAATATTAATTAGCATATTTATTGAAAATTTGCTCCGAGTTTTTCAAATTTAATCATATCATCTATCAGTTTATCCAATTGTTTTATAGAAATATTTTAATATATATTTGTTGTCATTCTAACTTTCATTTATTTTCTATATTTTTAGTTAATGTACGATAGCAATAATAGGCCCTATATATTAGTTACAGGTAAATAAATTCAAAGTAAATTTATCTTTGTCTTAAAATAAATTCAGGAATAATAATTTATTTGATTATTACAGATTGTATGAGAAAAAATGCTCGAGGTGAAGTACTAGTGATAGGCCAAGGATCGGGAAAAATCACAGTTAATGGACTACCTATGGTCAATTACTTTAAAAACTTGCAGGAACGCGAACAGGTAAGATTAATTGGTACTTTTATTATAACCTATATTTTAATACTTTTATTATGTAACTAGAAATTTAACATTACATTTAATTAAAATAATTCTAATACAATAATAGTCATTCGTTTTTGTAATTTGTAATTTTTTTTAATACAGTCTATATATAGATAAAAAATATAGGTAAAAATTATTAAAGCTTATATGAAAGATTGATTTAATGTTTCATATTTTTTAGTTTGTTCATTTTATTAATATTTTAAAGCATTTTGAATTATTTTAAATTATTGTAAATTATAAATGACTAAGTTTACTAAATGTAAATTTTGTATTAAAATAAAATATAAAATTATTTTGAAACTCATCCTCTTTAAATCATTACAATTAATATAATGTATAATTTGAAACGACGTAAAGGTGCTAAACATCGAAAAAGAATATTTATTAGTCATAATATTGTAAAAAAGTTTCAATATTTTGTTTAATAACAGTTAAAATATTTAAAAAAAAATTAAGTAAAAATTTTCTGATACTATCTTTAAAAAAGGATATGACAATTAAAAATGTCTATTAGACATATTTCAATGTTGTATAATTTATTTTTGTTTTTTATCATCAAAAAAAAAAAAAAAAAAAAAAAAAAATTTTTTTTTTTTTTTTTTTAAAAAAAAAAAAAAAAAAAAAAAAAAAAAAATGTACTTATTAATGTTTGTCATATCTTTTTTAAATAATGTTCATACAAATTTATTTTGAATAAATAATTTACATATTATTTGCAATATTTAAGCCTTCTAAATAATTTTGTTAGATAAATATTATGGGATTATGTGTATTGCACTTATCAACTACGGGATAAACATAGTTTTAAACAAATTTGCGGAAACTATAAAGGTAAATACGAGAATTCTTATTTAAAGAATTCGTGTAATATGATATTATTACGTAAAAATGTTTAATCTAAAAATTGAACGTCAATACCAAATGTCGAATAATATTAATAATAATAATAATAATAATAATAATAATAATAATCGAGCCTTTATAGCAGTGCACAGATGCATTGAATTATCAAATGTATATACTAGTCTGAAAAAAATATAGTACTTGTTACTAACAAATCCACGCATGATATCGCTACGGATAAAGTGAGAAATCGATAATTGATTACTAATAAATAAGTTCGAGTGAAGCTTATGAATTTGGTCGAGCTCGATGATATTATCAAAGGCTGTGACAAAAAGATTATTAAATCATTTGCAAATTAATCGATCAATAATATAATGTTAAGAGGATCAAACGAAAGATTTAGATATAAATTGTTATTGGTCATACAGAGAAGGTCGTTTTTCAACATTAAATTTGTGATTTTGTATTATGATTAGTCATAATCTGAACACATCTCACAACTAGATTTACGTACTTTCCCTAAAGTTTTATAAAAAATTATCAAAATATCAAGAAGAAAATTCTGGTCTAAATCATTATTAAAGATTCGACCATGAATTTTCATAATGACGCTAAGCAGTGTATGAGGAAATCTTCAAGGAGAAAGAAAAAAGTTGAGCTGATCAATGTTGTTAAGTTTAGCGCTGATCATGTTGAAAAAAAACTTAACATTTTATGTACATATTTATTATTAATAAAGCAAACACTAAACGATGGATGGATTGTAACCAAGTCATTCCGTTATACTGCAAGCGATATATTATTAATAAAGTTAATGACTTTGTTATGAATAAAATAAATATTTTTTATTTACTTACATTTATATAAATACTTAAAGAATTCGAAGTAAGAAAACTTAATTTATGAATTTTAACTGATAAATATTTATTGTTAAAAATACTTATATATAGTTATAATAAAATATTTTAGTTATTTTAAAAATATAGGCCAATGATTTTCTTTAATTCGTGATAACATAAAAAGAGAAAATTTTAAGTAGTACTATAAACGAGATATAGTCTTGTATGTATTACATATTATTTTGCAATAAAAATATTTTTATACGAAACAGTCATGTAAGATCCGATATTTGAAGATATTTTTGGACGAGTGTGACTGATGTTTAAGATAAAATTGAGCGAATTACAATTAAAATTGTAATGATAAAAAATAGCTAGTATTATTAGTTTTATTATTTTTTTCCTCTTCTTCATGATTTAAGACAATAAAAATAGAAAGAAATAAGTATTGACTTAGAGAAAAATTATTAAAGTAAAATTAAATCGTCTAAACAATATAATGTTGAGAATGGTTGACAATATATAAACGAAGCCTATTAATGCAATTACCATGTGAATTAATCCGAATAACTTTTATATCAAACAGGACAATCGATCAAGCTGTTTTTTTTTTCACCTGTACAATAATAACTCGATTTTTGTCCTAATACAAATTTATCTTATTTAATAATTAATGAAAATAAGTTAACATTAATGTATGTAAAATCTTTTTTTTGATTTTAGTATTTGCTTACTTAAATAAAATGATAATTCGAACACTTTGAAATTTATAATTTGTACTTTTCATTACTTTTCATTATAGACAATATTGTCTGTTTTGAAATATTTTCCCCCTTAAAGAGGAGTACACGCGGTTATTGAATTTTGATTAAAATATAAATTACAAATTTTGAAGTTTCAATGGGAACAGGTCGTAAGGAGGAGATGGAATACGATGCAGCGTCCGGTACGCTCTGGTATTAACAATATTTAATTGTTTATCCCGCTAGCGGTAGGGGGTATCAATTAGAAATCGAATATTTATATGTATTTACAGCTACTAGCATACGGATAATGCATAATGGTATCGAACATTAACTTAATTGCGTGAACTTTTCTGTGATAGTTGGCGCCGGCTGAATTTGTTTCAGAAGAGAAGCTTCAAGAATGTACAGCGGTTGCTTACATATATAAATTCATTGTCCTATACCGGCTCATTGACAATTTCATTACCATTCATGGTATGAGTCGTGGGTTTGCGACGTTTTGTCTCTACACGTATATTCATACATATGAGATGGTTTTGCAATGAATGTATGCTCGATTACATGATTATACAGGAATTCTTCATTACCCTTATAAATGCCTCAAATTAGTTTAATTGTAATTATTAAATTATATAATTGCAATCGCAACAATTATATATATATATATATATATATATATATATATATATATATATATATATATGGATTTTGTTATTAATTTTATTAAGTAATAAAGGGTCTTGAAGTATATGCCAAATTTTTTATTCATCGTATAGCTTGAACTTTATTTATAATTTTCTTGAATTCTAATCTTTCTCACAAATCTCTTTTTCCCATTTTTATAATTATTATCGATCGTTAAAAAATAACAATGTTTTTAATTGAAATTGAAATTATTCGAATTATGCGTTAAAGTGAATATCTTTTTTATTTAGAATTTTATTTAGATCTTATTTAGAAACATAAAATTATTATCGATCGACTAATGAAAATAAAATTCATTCCTTTTGTAAAATCCCACGTTAAAGATAACGTATTCTCTAAAATTATATTACACGTGCAATTATTTTCATACCTATAAATATTAGTTGCAAAACGTTGATATTAAAGATATTTCACGCACGCGCGTGCTCTTGTAATTTTTCAAAATTGATTTCTTAAAATAGCAGTAATACAGTGTTATAAGAGAGTTGGAAGACTAAGAGTTGGGAAGTAGGCAAGATAGCGAACGATTTGCAATGTTTCAGCAGCAAGTTATTCGCGTTCTCGCACACGCACGGAAAGAGAGAGAGAGAGAGAGAGAGAGAGAGAGAGAGAGTACGTTCGAGTCATTCTTTGAGTCGCACCACCGGCCGTCACAATGCTTATCGTTCAGTTAAAGCGCGCGCGCCGACCTCCGATGTTGCTCCTCATCTCGCGTCCATTTACGTCAGAATGCCGTACGCGCCCCCGCTGCCACCCCCGAAGATGCTGCTAGGTGACTCCTGTGTGCCACGAGCTTACTTTTACCTTAAGGTGAATCTCCTTAACAATTTTGCCCCATTATAATTCACTTTCATTATCGCACATACATCCGCTTCGTAGTGTCTAGTGATAGATTTCCTCCGAAATGCTGCATCCTTCCGGTGCTTGATGCGCTCTCTGTTTCATAATATTGTGACTTCATTATGCTGTTAACGTGGGTGCATTATTATTGTGACGGGTATTGGCCCGAACTGCGAGGATTTACCTTGTTCGAAGCAGTGTACCATCGATTTTTCGAGTTAATGGAAAGTAATGTAACTTACAAAACAAGATATTCGGATGCTGGAACGTTATTTATAGAAGAACGTCTCATTGGGGTGTAATGATATTGCTAATTTCACCTGTAAATTGTATAATGGTGAATTATTAGGATGGTTTTTCTATAAAATGCTGCATCGATGTTAATAGGAGTATATAAAAACCGAGATTACATGTAACCTTTTTCCAACAAGTTTTGATATCAATGACTATCGTAATTCCAATTAACAAGACGTTTATATTAATGATCAGTGTCAATTCTTACGCGCAAAGATAACGTTTAAAACGGTTTTTATAAAACGGTTGAACCACATGTGTGGTCAACCTAGCTTATCTTAAATAATAGCTCCTATAATTTAAAAGTAACAATAATGAAAATTAATAAGAACAAAAATATTGTAAATATTACAAAGTGCCATTGCCACCAAGTGTCTTTGTAATTTTTTATTCATATTTAATTTTATAAATTGAATTGAATATAATTAATTAATTATCATAGAAATATTACTTCTGAGTATTTGAATAAATAACAAATTTAATTTTTGGTGTTAATTTTTAAATATGTTAAGTTTTTAGTTTTATCAACAAATGGCATATCCTAATTTTTACGTTATTAATTTTAAATGAGTAATAACAAAACAATCGTTACTGCTTTCTTCATTTTATTTATTTTTTATTGGCCAGTTTTTTCTACGAATAAATCACTTTTGCTCAAACTCATGTTAAACTAATTACATTTATAGTTTCGGCTACCTCTGTCTTAATAAAGATTAAATGTTATCGATATATCTCGCATGTAGTTTTAATGCTGATTACGTGACTGTTACCATCCGCATTTTTCTTCAATTAATGATTAAAACGTTCGGAATCAGCAATACGCAGTACAGGAATTAGTGTAGTGGGTAACTCAAGGTCACACGTTGATGCATTGCCATCCCATGTCGATGCAACATGACATTCTTCTACATTGTTGAGATTATAGGAGCTCATGTTGCAAATAATTAAAATGATTTAACTTGCTATTAACTATCTTAGGAAGTCACATATTTTAAATAGTTTTGACGTACTAATGTAATTAAATCCAAATAAATTATCCGATACATGTATTTTTATCAAGTGAATAGTTACTAAAAAATGTATAAATTTAACCCATAAGTAAAATTCATCTACAATCCTTATTTAAATCAACAGAAAAATACTGTAAAAATAGAAAATTTTAAGCTAACTTTTGTTTTTAATATAGTAATAAAGTAGGGCTACAATTAAAATAAAACAGTGGCATACTTTGAAAGTAAAAGTTTTAATATGAATTTATTAAATTCATGTATAGATATAAAAATGAAGATTTGAAAATTTGAATTTCTATATTGTGGATAGTAAATGTCACATTATGTTGTCTAAACATGTGATTTAATTGGTGCCAAATTATAAGATAGATAACTTAAAAAATTTCAAATTAAATAATAAATTTATGTACGCTTGCGAGTAAAATATTGGAACAGTTTGCTGATGAAATAATAGTATATTTTATATAACAAATATTTTAAATATATTTGAAAAAAGAATGAATTTTCTATGCTCTTTAAGAATAAATTATTTAATTTATCTTGAATTAATGAAAGGAGGTATAATGATGCTATATTTTGAATCTTAAGATTAACAAAAATAATACAAAAATTAAAACAATAATATTACTCTTATTATATGGAAAAAAAAAAAATTAATAAACCAATGAATATACGAGTTTTATTTTTTTTAATTTTTTTCATTTGCTTTTTATATAACTGGTTTTACGAATCGAGTCCCAACTTAATTGTATCATAACTTTATTATTTAAAAATAAATATAAGTATTGCTCTAATTTTCTATATGATTTTATATGTTATTTAATTTTTTTTTATTGTATTCATTAAGAATTCAAGGTGAAAATTATATAATTTACATTACGTATTACTGATATTTTGTTGTAATAACTTTTATGACTAATACCTAAACATTCTAACATTATTATAACTTTCTATTTATTTATTTAGGCATTTGTTTTACATCAATAAATGTGCACGATCCAACTGACAAGTTTGTTTATTAACAATGTTTTCTCTACTTGATTTATATTTTATCGTATCAAGAAAATAGTAAATGAGTTTTTCAACGTCTCGCTTAATTGTTTTTTTCTTCAAATATGTAATTTGAGTTTCTTATGTTATAAGATACTGGATCTAATTAATTTTTTTAATTTAGTCGAGTTACTATTAATTATTCTTTGCTCATCTTATACATTAATAGTAAGAATAATGTATTTCTTTTCGTGTCAATGCTCTTATTTCCCTTCTTTGTTGCACTTTCTATTAATTAATCATTATTAACGAATGTTTTAATGAAAATGATTGAAAAAATTTTAAATAAAATTAATTTAAATTAACATTATGAATTAACATTGGAATTATGAAATTATAAAAATTCTGGAATGCGGTTAAATTAACTGAAATTAACTCTTCAAAAGAAATTCAATGCATCATATTTTGAGATACTTGTAATATTATATAATAAGCAAAATAAATGAAGTATTACGTAGATTGTTAAAAATGGAGACATTTTTTTAATAAAATATTATATATTTAAGATTAATACAAATACTTGAAAGCTAATTTTTAAAAAAATAAAATAAAATAAAATAAAAATAAAAACTAAATAACTTATACTGTAGTAAATAATTATTGATAATAAAATAATTTCAATCATATGTTTATTTATTTATTAGAATTTATAAATATTTTAAATTTATATATATATATATATATATATATATATATGTATATTTTTTTTTTTTTTTTTTTTTTTTTTTTTTTTTTTACAATTAATGTAACTTCTTTATGCTGAAACATAATATTACATTTGTATAAAGAGACCAAATTGAAATATTAACATAAATAAATAGGCTATTTTCAATGAAAATCAATTATTATATAACTTAAATTGAAGGGAACATAATTTTACGAATGATATTGATAATTTCAATTGATATAATGCTTACCAATAATTATCTTAAATATTTAGGATAAATACATTTCTGCACATGCAGACAGGAAATGTATATAAAAGTCTGATCGATACAATGTATATGATAATCATAATGGATATATTGTTAAGAACGTAACCCAGATAGATATACGCGGCATTATTAAAATTATCATAATTTACAATAGATAATTCGTTTTTAATATTTCGTCGGTCTTTAGCTAAAATATAATAATGACGATAATCAGTATGCCTAGCTTCCGCGAGGATCAGTCGTTAAATCTGATTGAAAATCTTAAAATGAACTTAATTACTATGATTAAGCATTCCATGTAGGGACAAATCATTAGGCAGCAACGCGACTCAATTAACAGCTGAAATCAAAGAGATTCACTCGATTGGCATTTCGCGCATATTTAAATCGAGCCACGTGAAACACTTGAATTTATAAATAATGTGCATGCGCCAAGGGAACTGCTGATATTTGAGTCTGCATGCCTCGAGAGAGGAGAACGGGAGCATTGCTAATGCTCCTACGATTTTCCAATTGACATTTGCTGGCCGGCCCGAGAGAAAAGTGACGACGTATCGCGTGTGCACGGCGCGAGTACAGAGGAAGAGCCAATTGTTATAATTAAAATATCGTTATATGTGCATCGCTGTTTTTTATGGGATGACTTTTAGGTGGTAGTTACTTTTGAGGACCATTGGCGTTTTCCTGGTTAACATTTTCCGCGCTTGAATCATGTAATTACAGGTAATTAAGAATATTGCCGTAAGGATTCACGAGTTTACTGGGCTCGACTTCTTTTCGCAACATCTTCGTCAAACTTAATGATAAATAATGAGCTAGATAATGTGCAATTGCAATTGTTGATTAAATACAAAGGTGCAAATAACCGAAGTGAGCAGACAGTTGCCACGACAAGTATTTCTATGAAATATATTATTCATTCATTTATTTTATTTTCTATTGCTATCGTTGGGATTATTGGGGCTAATTAACAAAGTCAAATATGAATGAATTTCAGATGAGTAATCGAGGCAAGAAGTGCGTATTACAAAAGGTATTGTAGCGCGACGTGGTCTTCTTTGACCTTGGCCTTGCAAGCACAAAGCTGCTTGTGAATTTAAAAAGGTTCGATTTGAGAAAAACCTTTTCCGTTACTCCTATACACGTCCTTCATCATAAGTTATTCAATTACGATTAAATACCTATTTAATCAGTTTGTATTATTATTTAATTAATTGAACGTTATTAGTGATAAATATTATTAGTTGTTAGTTTTTTTTTTTTTATCTATTTGTCTATTGATATTAACCGGTTCGTTTTATTAAATTATTTTGTTAAGAAATAATTGTCATTTATCGTGAATTCTTGGGAAGAAAATTTGTTTTTTTTGTTTTTTTTGTTGTTGTTTGTTTTAAATCAAGACACATCATTTAGCAATCATTTCTCGCTATAACCAACAGTTTAATAACAATTTTCCTTTTCTAATTATCTACATAAAGATTTTTAATTACTTCATTAAACGTTCGTCAATTTATAAATTTAACCCTTCTATATGGTTATCTAAATGATAAAATCGATTCAATTCATTTATACACTATCGTGGCATTGGCAGTTGGTCAATTTAATTATTTTTATAAGGTAGGGTTAAAATTATAATACAAAATGTCATTGTACGTAACGGAGTTTTAAGTATATATTAATTTATCGACCTTCGCGAATATCATATTATTATTTCCTTTAGCAACATGAGTAGTGTGCGTTAATGTTGGGATTATTTCTCTTGTCGAGAGGAAGTTGAGGTAGCCCAACTAGGTACTAAATACTGCCGTAAAGAACAATGCCGAATCGAAATATGTTGGACGTTTTTAAAACAATTTTTATATATTTAAAATAATATTTGCATTGTCTGACTTACCAAGTCTTATGCTAATTTTGCGAAAATTCGATAAATTTATGCTCACGTGGATCATGAAGCTTATGGTTTAACGTAACATGCCAACTCTTTTAGTACTTTTAGTATTAATCATATTAATTGTAATGATAATTTGAATACAATATTCATAAGAATTTTCAATATAATTAGAATTTAAAATTCAATGATAAATCATTTAGATAAGAAGTCTTTCTACAATTCGATTCTTCGGCATTGCCTTTGTTCAAAATGCATTGCACCAATGTGTATAAGTACGCGGGCAAATAATTATATGAATCATAGTTCGTTAGATTTCTATTTTTATTTAAGTGCATTATCCGATCTATTTGATTGTCGCGGGAGATTAAATTGTGAATTTTTTTTGGGAAAGACGGGTTTAAATTTAAAACCTATTAGGTTTATTTTATCCGTCGTACTATCGTACAATAGTCCTTGCTAGCAGACTCCTCGTCGAAATTATAAAATTAGCTTATACCATTAGATATCGAATAATAATGAATCAATTCTTATTTAATTTTTGTTAAATAATCGTTGTTATAAAGATAAAAATGATATTGAAAATAATCTTTTTTAAGGACGAGCTCTACCTCCTTCTCTCATGTTGTTGCTTAAGATTTTCCTTTATATTTTTCCATGTTAATTTTGCAATGATGTAATAATGCATGACGTATACTAATGCTGATAAGTAGATAGGATATTCAAGAGGGACAATATTGGCATTAAATAATGCATTAAAAGGGACACGATTAATTATCCGAAATATTAAAACAAGATTAAGTTTCGCGGGAATCTATCAGCTGTATCATCTTCTAAAAAGTCGCAGTCTCGCTAGTGAAAGCCAAAGCAAATATCATTGCCTTTTCATGCATAAAATATTGGGGCCATTGAAAACGAGTACTTCCGACCAATCTTAATTTAATAATTTATTGTTTCAGTAATATTACTAGTGCTACGGCGCTATATTCAATCATGGCTGACAATGGTAATAAGCAACAATTCAACAATGTTTTACCCGTATTGTCTTCCGTTATTCCCAATACTAAGCGAATACAATTGGAGCGTAGCTCTAGCAGCATTCAATTTCCAGTCTCGGCACTATCACTCGGCCATAAATCCAAAACTTCGTCATCGCTATTGTTGAACCAATGCCTCGGCAGCAGTACGAATCGTCGAATATCAATGCCCGAATACGACGAGCCAACATGGAGCCAAGACGATCGCTGTATGGAATATGGTAAACCTCCGCCTATCGAGGAACCCCATTGCTATTCTATGTGCTTAAGCGAAAGCTCCTTCTCCGACGACAATTCATGCTCTATTCAAATAAGCAAAGATTATCTTAAGACATTAATCATGGATCATGCGAGGACTTTGGGCTGTAGGATGCATGTGTTGGAAGAGTTGGATAGTCGAAAAATTGATGTTGCCAGTCTAGAAAAATATCTGGAACATTGCAAAAAGCCCCATGAAATAAATGCATTACTATTGTATGTAAGCCTTCTCGGGTATGGAGAGCTCATACCGATCATTCATAGTACCGGCGCTGATCTAAATCACACAGAACCAGAATTGGGAATGTCGGCCTTACACCTGTGCGCATTCAGCAACTGTCTAATCGGCGTTCGCTATCTCCTCGACAATGGCATAATTAGCTCTCAATGTTCAAATTATCAAATCAAAATTAGCTCTAAAAAATCTTATACCCCGTATCACTTTGCTGCTTATGGCAATGCTTTCGACGTCGTTAAATGCTTTATGCAATTAGGATGGAGCCAAGAGTATCCGTTAGGCGAGGAGACTGTTCTTCATGCCGCGGCAAGGCACAATTCCCTCGACGTATTGCGATTGCTTGCACCTAAGAATTCCACTATAAATCGCCTAGATAATACCGGTCATGCGGCGATTCACTATATAGCTGAACGCAGTGACTCGGCTTGCCTTAAGATTTTACTATTAGCCGGATGTTTGGTGGACATATCAACGCGAAAGGGCGATACAGCCTTGCATCTGTCAGCCGAAGCCGGTTGCGCTAAGAACGTCGAACTCTTATTAACTAAAGGCGCCAATCCCTCCATGAAGAACAAAAGAGGACAGACGCCCCTTCATCTTGCTGCTAGAATGCATTATTTGGAATGCGTGGAGGCACTGTTGCAACACAGCGCGAGCGATCCTAATATCGAGGATCACGATGGTAGAACGGCATTGCACGTGGCATTGGGGCGATCGCTTCTCGCCTACGATGTTGCCGAAATACTAATTAATTGGAAAGCCGATGTAAACAAGGCCGATAAATACGGCTACACGCCCTTGCACGTAGCTGCATTAAACGAATTATCACAATGCGTCGATGTATTGATACAGTATGGAGCTGATCTTAGCGCGAGGACCAAAGGTGGAACGAGTGCCTTATCGATTATACTTAGGAAAACTCCATCGTCGTTAAATTGCTTTAAGCAAAGGCTCGACGCCTCCATGAGTCTCCATCAACATGGATCTGCGGCCGGTGAGGTCGAGCTTAGACTCGATTTTCATCCACTGCTACAGCACCAGCAACAAGGCGAAATAGGATATTTAGGAACGTTCGTCAAAGAAAGTTACAAAGAAATACTGGAGCATCCGCTCTGCCAATCCTTTCTACATCTTAAATGGCAAAAAATTCGAAAATATTACGTAGGCAGGCTTCTCTTTTATCTCCTCTATGTACTCGTACTCACGGCTTGGGTAATAACGGCATTGGCACACAACTGTTACAACGAATCGCACGGTCAGCTCGACAATTCGAGTAAACCGCTCTGTGCCAATTCCACTGGATTAAATGGATTCCTTTACAGGCACCCGGTCATATTGGAATTGGAATGGTACGCGCTCGTTGTACTCACTGTCCTCGAAGGCTTACGCAAGCTAATGGGTATCCTCACTTATTCGAGCGTTCGGCAATTTTTCACCCAAGCTGAAAATATTGTCGAGTGGTGCGTTATCGTTAGCGTGTTCGCTACGTCGTTTGTATTCACCGGTAGGACCTACACCTGGCAAAGTCACGTGGGCGCATTTGCCGTCCTCTGCGGCTGGAGCAATCTTATGCTCATGATCGGTCAGCTTCCAATGTTCGGCGCTTACGTAGCCATGTTCACAAGTGTGCAGGCCCAAGTGTTCAAATTGCTTTTGGCTTACGCCTGCTTGCTGGTCGGCTTCACCGCAAGTTTCTGCGTTATATTTCCACGGTCTAAGTCGTTCAGTAGCCCGCATACCGGATTAATCAAAGTCTTGGTCATGATGACCGGTGAATTGGATTTTGAAGAATTGTTTTTCCCTGGGGAGGAAGAGGGTGGCAGACCCGTCGACGTAGGGGGTACGTCGTGGATTCTCCTTCAAGTGTCGGCTCAATTGTCGTTTGTGCTTTTCTTACTTTTCGTCACAATCGTTTTGATGAATCTCTTAGTGGGTATAGCCGTGCATGACATTAAGGGGCTCCAGAAGACTGCTGGGCTTGCAAAACTCGTTCGACAGACAAAGCTTATCTGTGACCTTGAGACAGCTCTTTTCCTCGGCATCCTACCACAATGTCTCATGAAAATTCTGCGATGGACAGCTCTTGTCTTACCATCGCCTCTTAAGGCCGTGTTAACTGTAAGACCGTTAAATCCACGCGAAAAGCGATTACCACGTGATGTTCTTACTTGTGCTTATAAGATAGCAAAAGAGCGCAAAGATAACGATATTGCAACATCTTCGAACAAGCCTAACAATTGCACGAGCTATGGTTATCGTAAACTGGAATTAAATTCAAATGTAAATCATGGAGGTGTTGAGGACGTCGCAACATTGGAAGAGGCTGCAAAGTTAAACGATGAAGTCGCAGAATTGAGGAAAATCTGTGAAACCAATAATAAACTTATACATGAATTAATAAAAACTTTTACTGTTACTAAATGATCTTGGATATGTTTGGTTTCTTAAAGGAACATTTAGTTGTACAAAGATATCGTTAAAATTCCTTAAAGTTATTTTTTGCATTATCTTAATTTCAATAATAACAGCAGATTTATCCCATGGAAATGGATGGATATGTGATTCGGTACAAGTGACAAGTGCCTTGTAATACAAACAAACAAACAAACAAACAAACAAACAAACAAACAAACAAACAAATGAAAAAAAAAAACAAAAAAATAAATAAGCATAAAAAAAAAAGAAAAAAAAGAAAGACAAAAGAAAGAAAGAAAACACGTGTTCGCAATTAATGTCATTAATAAAAAAAATTAATATTGTCAAATAAATACTAAAGTTTATTTTATTTGGTAATCTGTATTTTTGTCTTGCGAGCAGGTTTTGCTGCTTTTTTTTTTTATTTTTTTATTTTTTATTATTATTATTATTATTATTTTTAAATGATATCTTAATATTATCATTAATTTATATACTTTGGCATATCTTTGTTAATAATAATCTTATACATAAAGAGAAGAAAATTATAATAAACTTTATATTAACATCGAGATTAAAATGATTAGTAATTATTGTTTTATGTTTTTCTTTTTGTTTTTGTTCTTGTTTTTGTTTTTGTTTTTGTTTTTATAAAAGTAATAACAATAATTTTATTATTTTTTCTAGATTTTGATCACAATTACTAGTAATTCCGTTAATTTTCGAAACAAACAATGATTTATACTTTTTCTTTTACGCCTTTTTTCATCAAGATTATATAACTTAGGCAACCTCGTTTTACAGTACCGTACAATTGGTGAAATTATTCAATTAAATTAATTAACGAGCAAATTTTAACGATTATTAATTTTGAGAGATTATATTATTTTTTGAAAAAGTTTGAATTACAAATACAATATTCTCTTCTACCATATAATTAGTATAATTTTTGACAAAGCAATATTAATATTTCATTTTTAAAATATAAAATGAAATATATTAAAATGAATTTTATTTTTTCTTGAATTTACATTAAAATATACAGATTTTAAATTCAATTAACATAATTATTTTAATGCGAGTGAGAGAAAATAAGGATAAATCAATCAAATAATTAAGAAATTACCAACAATATAATATTCTTCGATGGTAACAATTCGGCAGAAGAGATTCCAGTAAAATTTATATACAGCTACTTAACAATGTAGGCTTGTTTAACAAAGACGTGTCGATATTAACAATAATATGAACTTTTACTCCTGAACTCAGTCTTCGAATGACATTTATTCATATCACATATTTTTATATAACTATGTTAGGAAAATGTATATTTAAATTGCAGTCAAATAAAATAATAATAATTTAATTTATTAAGTGCGTTACAATCTGTGAGCAATTGTGGTTAAATTAAATAGGGAATTAAATAAATAAAGTTATGAAAAAGAAGAAAAAAATTAATTTTATGTATATATGTGTGTAATGTTTAATGTTTAATGGCGCTGGGCAATAATTTTAATACAAAAAGTATGCGAATTATGTTAATTGAAGTATTATATGGGACCTGAATCGTTATTAAGAAAATTGTATATAACAATAATAAATTGATTTTTTTTTTTTTTTTATTTAAATAATTTACTTATTTATTAATTAATTTTCCTATATAACTTTATTCGTATAATAGTATAATCGTTGGATTTTATTGTAAATTCGAACTGCAATAAAATAGCGTAGGTATTTACCACTTTTATATAATGAATACATTGATATATTATATATTAATGTAATTATATCATTAAATAATTCTTATGTATTTGCCTCTAGAAATATTATTTTTATAAAACTGAAATTACGAATTTTAGTAATTATCATTGAGGTAATTAAATTTAAATTATATATGTTTTATTGAAATAAATCATATCAAATAGTTTATAATATTAAATTATAAAATTTAATACATAAAATATGATATACAAGATTGTTATTTAAAAACTATTTAATTCTTATAATTAATGAGTAAAAGAAATTTTTATTTCTATTTGTAAAGCTGAAATTTATTATCACGATAATAATCGTTTCGCACATTGATATTATATTAGTTTAAAAAATGCCGTAGTTTTTAATGAAAATTAATACACCCAAATATATAATACAATTAAAAAAAAAAAAAAAAAAAATACAATTATTATAGTGAAATATAATATTTTTTATATTTATACGGCTTTTCAGAAATATAATGTTGTATAATAACTAAAGCGTACATAATTAAAAATACATCTGCCCGTTAATACCATTAATTTTATAATTAAATTTATTGGTATATAAGCTTGTATTAGTTTATTTTATTCTAGGAAAAACATTTTTTAATTTTAATAATTAAAATTAATTTTTAAAGCTTATTTAAGTCTTTAAAGTGACGATAATATTAATTTGTACAATTAAGAGTAAATTTCTTTATTTATTTATTTAAATCGAATAATTTATTTAATGTTGTATGTGAATGTATGCGATCGTTGATTCAATGGGTACGATATAATAAATGGAGAAAAAAAAAAAAGGGGAAAAAAAAAAAAAAAAAAAAAAAAAAAAATGATCATGAAAATTCTAATAGTCAGTATGTAATTTGAATCATTATATTTTTTAAACAATCCATTGCCTATTAGCCGATATTTGAATTCACAAAATATGTGTTCATACATTATTACATAAATTCCGCTGATTTTGCACTTTGAAACATGGAAAGGAGGTCACGACAATACGGAAACGGATTATGGAGCGAAATATTTTGATTGTATACATTGGCTGTTTATTCTTTACATGGATAAAATGATTATTTAGGCAGTGCTTTGCCTTACACAATAAAAATGTCAATTTAAAAATTTCAAAGCAAAAATGTTTTATCAATGACTGAGATTTGTTTTATTTCTATTCGATGCTCATATAACGAATTTTCCCTACCTTTCACGTAATAATGAATTCCAATTTAATAGTTATACTTCTTATAAAGGTATTATGGGCGTTTATTTTCTTTTTAATTTAAAATTATTAAATAAATTGTAATATCTATTGGAAAGTATATTTTTCAATAAAAATGTTGATTGATATTTCTTTTTAAGATTTAAAAAATATGAAAACTTTACTACATTTATTGTCTTGATGTGAAAAATTTTAATTGTTGAAAAAAAAAATAGTTACAATAATTAAATATATTCTTTTGCCACACATATTAATACTCAACTTTTTCTTGAGAAAGTATTAATTATAATTTGTCACCTATTTATAATTAAATAATTAATGGAACTATCATTTTATCCAAGATTATTATTTAAAGATCTATAAATGATCAATAAAATAGCAATTAAATTGCTCGTGTTAAAAAGACTAAAGAATTAATAAATGTGATAAGTAAACTAAATATTAATATAATTAATCTATTTTTTTACTTTATCTAAAATTAACAAAAAGTTATTAATTCTTATTTCTTTTAATACGTGGATAATTTAGAAGAATGTAATAAATAATTTTCAATAAAACTATTCTTTTATGTATATTCAATTATGACGATTTAAAGAGTAATAAATTTAAATTCTTTTACAACTGTTTAATGTTTCAGTGGCAGTGGCTTTTAAGAGAATTAATTAAAAAATTAATTAAATTTTTTGTATATTTATTAGAATCTAATGTTATTTTAATCTAATGTAAAACTAATAATATACCATGATATTTATTTTTGTTAATCTCTTTTTTTTTTTCTTTCGTTTTTATTGTAATGTATTAATATACATTGAAATAATACATTTTGGTATTCATAATATTTTTTCTATGAAATTATCTTTCTTTCATCAAAAGTAAAATAAATAATCCATATTAGGATTATAAATAATTTGGTGGGTAATAATCTATTATCAATGTCTAAACATTAAGTTATTGAGATTTGATAACATTAAGCATGTTTTATCTTGAAATACGTGTTGAAGATTTGGAAAATTTATAATCCTACAAGATTAATCAAAATATTTAATTAATATTCAACTCTTAGTTAAAAAATTATAAAATTCTCAAACATTCAAAATTTCAAATATATTTTTAGACCAAGAAATCTATTAATTCTTTATCAGTCAATTTTATGTCATAAAATATTATCGAACAGTGATATTCTTTACAGGAAATTAATCGTATACAGAATAAAAATAAATTTATCTAGAAATTATATGCTAGATTTGTAATAAATATTGGATAATTAATCATAAATATATGATTTTCGTTAACTCATTAATAACCATTGCAATCAATTAAAATATATTAATGTTTTAGAATATTATGAAAAAATTTATTTTATACAAAGGGGATAAATAATATTGTATATTTATCGTGACTTTTCTTATCTTACAACTATGTAGGAGTATTCAACATTGCTTAATTTATCTATGTTGATTAACATTTTACAGATGTACCTTTATAGGATTAAATAATCGATACTTTCATGAATTTATGTAAACATTTAATTTAATTCATATATTTATTAGGAATTGAAATAATTTATAGAAAAGTATGCTGATATTATATTTGAATATAAATTGTAATTATATTTATGAAGTTATTAAATATTTCATGGATAATGCCAATTATAGCTTCTATGATGATTCATATCGAAAATTATAAAAGCTAAATTTAGGATTGGAACTTGGTAAAAATAAAAAAAATTAAATAATCAATAATATTTAATAAATTTAATTAATTATTAATTTAATAATTAATTAAATTTAATATATTAAACTTGGTCTATTTCTTGATAGTGTAAGTATATTATAAAAGATGATAAGCGCGGTAAGATTGCAAATCCGAATTATAACATTATAACTTTAATGCTAAGAGAAAAGAGATAAAAGAAAGAAAAAAAAGAATAATGAGAAAGACAAAGGAATAAACATTTTTTGGACGTGATAAACGTTTCTACTAAAATCTTTCTATATAAAAGCTTTTCAAATTCTGTTGATCGATGAGTTAAAAAGATTGATTTATTACCGATTATCAATTAAGATCTGAACGAATTACATATTATTTTTTAATTAAAACAAAATTAATCATCAAGTTTCATTTGAATTAAATATATGGCGATTTATAAAAATTAATATTTCTGTTAGAAATACATTTATTCCAAGTATTTTCATTATATTTTATATATACAATTTACTAATATGAATAAATAAATAAACAAATTTTCTAATAAGATATAATTAAAAACTTATTCTTAAAAGCAAGATAATTACAACATATATGTATATATAATAATAATTTTACATCAAGTCACAGATTTGGTGGATTTTTTTGTTTCTTACACAGTCTCGTCGTCTATGATAAAAAATCACAAAAATTTAAACAGTAGCAAGAAAAACTAACTCAGTGAAATATTAATATTTCAATTATTTTTTTAATTTATTGTGTATTTCACTTGTAGCGAAACGGAAAAATTAATTTATATTTAGAATCTTCTTTTGATTTTGATTATGAAAATATTATTATTTTTTAAATAAGATTAAAAAAAAAAAATTTGAATGTTTGTTTAAATTTATCATCCTACTTTTATCATTCAATTGTTGTTGTTGTTGTTGTTGTTGTTGTTGTTGTTGTTTTTTTTTTTAAATGTAAAAATACACTATAATTTAACATTCACAATATTTGCACAAATAGTTTGCATAAATTTCCAATCTGTTAGTCGATAATATTGTACGTTAAGAGATGAGAGTATTAAACTATTTTGACATTCCTCAAAAATAGAATTTTTTAAATTTTCTTTTAAAACATGTTGTATCAAATCATTTTACCGTAAATAACCAACATGTGATTCTAAATTCTAAAAACGCAAAAGTTTTAATGATTCGCATTAAGCCATATTAACAATTTTAACGGATTCACTTAAAATTTTGTCTGCATCGTTAAAACAAAATTTTCTGTAGGAGTACACATGAATTGTATGATTCATTAAGTAGTTATTAGTTATTAACTTATCAAGTTAATAATGATATTTTATACGATTTTTTTTTTTATAAAACCATTTTATTTTCAAAATTCACTTTTTTTTTCTTTTTTTTTTTAATATTTAAACGTCTGAAACTAATCAATTTCTTTTTTCCTTTTTTTATAAAAAATGAAAATCTTTTTATAGCGATTTTAAAAACTTCCGCACCTATTGCTATGGATGAAACGTGTTTTAAAAAGTCGGATTACATAGTGATATTGAATATACCATTAATAAAATATTAATTTGGTGAAAAATTTATTTACTACGATTCATGTTTTATTGATATATATATATATATATATATATATATATGTATATAGTTTAAACATAGTTTATCATATTTCTAATGATTTCGAAATTTTACTTCTCGTTGATATCCAAAAAAAAAAAAAAAAAAAAAAAAAAAAAAAAAAAAAAAAATAATTATAATAAAGAAAAATCAGCTCTATTTTCTACAATGTTTACACGAGAATTTAATGAATTTATTAGTTTATTAGTTTTAGTTTACAAATTTTCAAATTATCTTTATAATTAATATTTATAAGGATTACTAATCGTTCAAATATTGTAAAAAGAATTTTGTTTATTAGTTTTCGATAGAATTAAAAAGTAATAAAATAAATTCTTGACAAGTCCTCTATTTTGTATGTAACATGCTTTTAAAATTTTAATTTATAATCGATTATCATTAAAATTGTATCTATACTGATTGTTTGAAAAGATCCTAATCTTTGATTACATGGTATTGATCATAATGTAATTTAACTATTGCAATAATAATAATAATAATAATAGTAATAATAATAATTTTACCTAAAAACTGCGTAGATGTTAATATATCTTTTATTAAATTTAAATGTCACTTTAGAGTTCACTGCCGCGTGTTGATAAATTGTTCATATCCAAGTATCAATCAAACTTTTCAGCGAAATTAATCATTATAGTTAAAATTTTTTAACCTATTCTTCTTATTTTTATGATTATGAGACACAGAACTAGAGATAAATATTACATATGAATATAGATTTACATGTTTGAGTAATCCTTTACTGTATTAATAATAATTAAAATATCTTATTGAAAGGGTAGTACTTTCTCTTGGTATAATTTTTTCAAACTGATTGTGGATATATATCGATAGTATGCTGCCTTTACATGTAGATAAATATGTAATTACAATAGATAAGAAGAGATATCTAATAATGTGCGACATTGCCATTTGAAGCGTTATTCATGATTTTTATCATTATAGATTTAATAATGCGAAAAATGCATAAACAAAAATAAAAGATATTCGCGCTGAGTTAGGGGAAAGGGGATCTCGTAGTTGGACTTATTTCTTATGCAAGTTTATACGATAAAATTGTTTAATGCCAATAAATATGCGATTGAGCATATCGAGTAGATAAATCCTATAAAAAACTTGGTAGCATTTAAGGAATATTATTTCACCATTAAAATGCTCCACCATCAAGGACCGCATAAAAGGTGGACATTTAAAGAAAATTTAAAGGCATATTACTTAATAAGAAATCTTACGAGTTATAAATGCCCGTTGAAATTGCCTTTAATTCATAGCTTAAACGAAGTAGTCAATTTGTTAATAATCAAGTTTCTTAATTTATGTAATGAATTCGTCATTACTCGATTATATTAGTCATGACGATAAGGTCGGCCGGTGGTTTCAGTAATAATTTCTTCAATTTCTGTGCCAAAAATGAAAACCTACTCTCGAAGAGAACAAATACAAATACGAGGATTTCTGCCTCAACGAGGTATTTTATCACCTACGACAATCCAACAACACGAAAGTTGGGTGATTGACAATGGCGTCATCGTCAATCATTAGTTTTCATCAGTGGATTTTGTGTCCCTTCGGTAGCACGTCCTAAAACTCCGGTTAAACAACCAAAAAAAAAAAAAAAAAAAAAAAAAAAAAAGCAAAAAACAGCAAAGGTAATCGGCGGCCAGGCTGCGACCCCGTCGCTCCAAATGTCCCTTCCTTAACCTCGTCCCCCCGCTCGTGCTTTGCAAGTTCCGGAGTGAGGGACACGACTGGCAGCAGGACAGTTGGCGCCCAACCAGCAGCGCAAACGGACAAAATTCTAGTGCGCGCGGTATCTGATATCGTATGCGCGGCCGGGGGAATATCGCGCAAATGACAGGCTAAAGTGGCTCAAACGAGCGCACAGTGTGTTTCGATGACGATCACCACAACTGCGTCAGTGAGGTGACAATTTCTCGGCGAGTGTTGGTTAATTTGGCTGCGCATGTATGCAGAGCCGAGCGTACGTAAGAACTGCGCATCTAAAAAGGCTGACGAGAGGCGCGAAAGGATCAAGAGGGATGGACTGATGCTGTGACGTTCACCTTTCTGCCAGGTTTGACGTTACAATTATTATCTGATGTTATTTTATTTTATTTTTTTCCTTCTCTCTCGTTCTTCTCTTTTCTTTTTCTTTAAATTAATCGAGCTGGTGTTTCGCTGATACATCAGTGTGGTTGCTCCGTGCGCTGGTTAATATCGAGAGTTGCGTATATTCGAATTTTGAACATTTTTTTTTTTTTTTTTTTTACGGATTTTGAGCATTTGAGCGCAGTGACTTTGATGCTTACGACTTTGTACTTTGTATTATTATTCTCATAAGCCCTGTGTTACGTTTGATGACACGCGGCCTCTTAGTTTGCAGCTATGCATCGATAAGTTTTAAGTAGCGCATTGAAATCGTTGGTTAATAGAATTTATTGATATAATTAAAAATTATAATGTCGAATTTAAAAATAGAATCAGCTCAATAAGAGTGAGTAACCTGCCTTTTGCATTTGACTCATTACACTAATATTAGTATTGACCGAGTAGTAATAAGTGCGAATGCATATTGTAAAATATTTTCGTTGTTGAACTGAATTGAATTTGAAGTTCGTAACTCGCGTTATTTAATGTTATTATTTGTGTTTGAATTCCTGTGAGTCAATATTAAAATTTATCGCCACCTTTGAGTGTTAATTTAATAATGTTCTTTTGGCTTCAATAACAACGCTAATGATATTCTCAATTTGTAAATAGACAATTTTTTTTTCTTATGTAATGCTCTTAGGAATCTTTTACACATTTCGGCATTGCAATTGACAATAGTTTTGAATTTGAATTATCGCAACTTGAAGTATAACTTTTTTTATCAAAGCTAACGAGGAATCGCTAATCTTAATAGCGCATAAGCAATTGTATTTGACAAAATGCCAATATTTTGACGCTTTAAGGACTATTAGGATTATTACGCATATAAAAGCTTTAAATTATGAAGAACTTTGCTTAAGAACAATTTCTTAAATTATTTTTTTTTTTTTAAATAAACTTTTAAATTATCGTACTATCGTTGTTACCACAATAAGAAATAAGTAATAGGACTGATATTGAAAAACAAATAGTCTATATCGATGCATTGTTTGTCGATATAATAAATTCGTTAGAATTTTCATTGACATGAAAATCCTGTCAAATAAAAACTTGTCAAATAAAATTGCTGAAATTTTAATGATGTTAATTTTTTTTTTTTTTTTTTTTTTTTTTTTTTTTTTTGTTGCCCCCAAGCCAATGTACTAATAATGTATTTATTTTTGATTGTCTATTTAAAGAAATCGTAGAGCGGGAATGTCAGGCTCGTGGAAGAAACCGAACGAGAAAGTGGAAGAGCACACGGATGATAGGAGGAGTCTCGATAGATCAAAGATATCACTGATGGAATGTCGAAAGCCTCGTCGTTATTCGCGCGGTGGCATTTATGAGCACCGGCATCGATTCTCGTGTGACTTGTCTTCTGGTCGATTTCTATCCCTCTATAAGCCCAACAATTCTGGATTTAGGTTATCAATCTGTACAAGCAAAGCTATTGCTGCCGAATGCAATAATCCGAGGGACAATATTGAAAGAGACGTTGAAATGTCAGCACCGACGGACGACTCTTTATTCTTTCGTCATGAATTCGAGGAGTTTAAGCAAGTGAAGATTGACGGTGCGAGTCTAAAGACGACAATGTGGGCTACCGTCAATGTCATCGAAATGAAAGAGCTTTTGGAGATCGAGCAAGGTAATATCGATAAAGGACCCGACGGCCGATTATTGCCAAATGCCGATCAGAGATTTAAAAATATCATATTTCTCTGGGCGTGCTTTCGTGGTTTGGCACATTTATTGGACAAATTGGAAGAATGCGGCGCTGACAGGGAGTACGTGGAGCCTTGCACGGGGATGAATGCCGTGTTAGTATCGTCCCTCGCTGGCAGTATATCTTGTTTGAAGTATTTGATCGAGAAGGGCGCTGACGTGAACTATGTTAATAGCGTAATATATTACACGCCCTTACATTTGGCAGCTCTTTGTAATTCGTGCGAAGCCATTGAAATGCTGGTGAATAGCGGCGCTAACGTGAACTCTTCTAATTGCCAAGATGCCGAGCCAGTGCTACACTGCGCAATAAGAGCGGGTTCGGAAAAAGTTGTTAAGCTCTTGCTTCAGAAAGGTGCAAGCGTTGTTCAAAAGAACAGCCGTGGCGAAACGGCTCTGCACGTCGCTTGTTTTGTGCAGTCGATAAGCTGCGCAGAATTACTTCTTAATACACCCGGAACCGATCCCAATGCCGTCGAGAAGAATCACCGAACATCCCTGCATTACGCGGTTATGAATAGTAGCTTAGCATCGAGTCTTGTGGAGCTTTTATTAAAGTACGGCGCGAGTGTTAATGTGAAGGATAAGCAGGAGCTGACGCCTTTGCATATCGCATCGTTAAACGAGCAGTCGCAGTGCGTCGACGCACTTATCTGGGCGGGTGCTGATATTAGTGCCGTTACTAAAACTGGACTAACCGCCCTCAATATTATACTGCGAAAGATTCCTGAGTCATTGCAGGTGTTCCGTCAGCGACTCGACGCTTCGATCAGACTGAAACGGCCGGTTCCTCATAATCGCGAATTCGAAATGAGACTGCACTTCGATCTGCTCTTCCCAAGCAACAATCAATGCGAAACAAGTTTCATCAATACCTTTGTGCAAGAGCACCAAAAGGATCTTTTGTCACATCCTCTCGTCATGGCCTTTCTTCACCTTAAATGGGAAAAGATACGTAAATTCTATCTTATGAGGATATTTCTTTATGCCTTAACTGTTATATTTATGACAACCTACGTTCTTACAGCATTGGCTTACAAGTGTTACAATTCCGACGAAGCCAATAGCTCGAAGATCTGCAATAATAAGCGAGCGTCCGGCTTTCTTTTCCGACCTCGTATAATTGAAATAGAGTGGTACGTCACTCTCATACTGACCTGTGTAACAATACCTCGAAAGATCTTTGGCTTCATGGTGTATAAATCAGCGAGACAGTATTTTATGAATATCGACAATATTCTCGACACTATTGTTATCATGAGTGTGTTTGTGACTTCGTTCGTCTACACTGGCCAAACGTACGATTGGCAAAATTACGTAGGCGCATTTGCGATACTCTGTGCTTGGACGAATCTTATGCTAATGGTAGGTCAGTTACCGGCCTTTGGCACATACGTGGCAATGTTTACTCACATTCAGTTCGAATTTGCCAAATTATTATTAGCCTATTCTGGATTATTAATAGGTTTCACCATCAGTTTCTGCGTTATATTTGTAGGTGAGCCATCCTTTGGCAATCCATTCACGGGCCTTATAAAAGTATTGGCAATGATGGCTGGAGAACTTGATTTTGAGGGTTTGATCAATCAGGATGATATGGTCCACGATGACTCGTTTGTTTTATATCATCCTTTATCAGTTTGCTCGCAAATTCTCTTCACTCTTTTTATAGTGTTTGTCACGGTGATTCTAATGAATCTTTTAGTTGGCATTGCTGTTCATGATATTCAAGGTTTGAGAAATCATGCTGGTCTAACTAAATTAGTACGCCAAACAAAACTAATTCTCTTTACAGAAATGGTCTTGTATAATGGCAGGATACCCTATACTTTTAAAAAATGGATGTCCGATCATAAAATAGACGTCGATAATCACAAGAGATTACTGGTGGTAAAACCCTTGAATCCTTTGGAAAAGAGGCTGCCGAAAGACATATTGAAAGCCGCTTATGAAATAGCCCAAAGAAATGTACCTCAAATGGAAGAGGACGATGTTAGCCTTCAAGAGCACGTTGCTTGGTTAAGGCAAAATGAAGAAAAAAACGAATGTATATTGCATTCGACTGTGAGGCAAATATCCAATCAAGTTAGATTTTCTGAGAACGAAATTAAATTTATAAAAGAGCATTTGTTAGATACCAACAAAATTTTAAAGCGTCTCCTGGCCAAAGTCCAGACAAGATAAAACTTGATTAAACCAAACGCTTAATGTCGAATAAAAATTTCTTAATTAGGTTGCTTATTTATGTAAAATATTGTACTTGATTTTCACTTTTAAAGCTTATATTATAATTTCCCAAAAATTTCCCTTTTTTTTTTTTTTTTTTTTTTTTTACAATATGCCTACTTTATTGTATTATTTGTTGGATGTTTATTTCAAAAGTTAATTTTAATCGAACTTTTATCGAACCATCGTACCCCTCCCATACATTTAACTATTGAACTGTATTTAATGATAAATATCCTTTTTTCTTGTACAAAAGCGATAATAAAAACATCAAAGAAGTTTTTAAACATATTTTTTTTTATCATCTATTGTGATATTTAAAAATAAATAAATCCTTAATAGAACATAATAACAGTGTTGTGTATTATGAAAATGTTCAACCATAACCAATAGAAATACGCATTTTTTTTTTATTTTTTTTTTTTTATAATTTAGCTTTAATTTTTAATCACATTACAATCAACAAAACAAAAAAAGTTTCATAATTAATATTTTATATAAATATTATTTTACAAATATTCGAATGTACGATTATGCATACAATTTTCCATTTATATGTTGCATTGAAATTTTTAAGAAAAAAATTCATACGATATAAGTGCACTTTGGTTAGTACGATTATTACAAACGACTTATTACAAAAATTCAAAATTGTGATAAGAGTAATTATTGATATATAATAATTTAATATTTTCCGAATGAAAGTATTGTTCAATGTTAATTTAATTTATAAAGATTGTACTTCATAACTATTACGTACTATTGACAAAGTAAAAAAGTTGCCGGTAATAATATTTATACTTTTGAATATAATATATTCACATATTTCTATTTTTGATTAATGCTTCGGGTAAATATTGTTTGGTTATTATGTAATAAATTCTTAATGTAACGTAAGATAAATATAAAAGCGATATTTTACGTGTTTGTAAAAGTACAAAGTATCTAATAAGATATATTTTACATGTATAATATAAATTGGTATTTACGTATTGGTAATAACTGTAAGCAATATATGTCAATTACAAACAGTGTGAGTAATTAGTTTTAAGAGTACATCGATGTATGTATTTATGAATGTGATTTAAATATATTTTCTGTATAATAAATTTGTATAATAAACATTTTGTTTTTCTATTATTGTATTTAATCCCCCTTATTCCCGTTATTATTTACGCCATAAATCGATTTACCTTTTGATCATTATTAATATAAAATTCTAATATCGCTAGGACATTAGCGTGTCTTTTAATTTTGGTCCCAAATTTCGCATATTCTATCAATAAATCATTTATTATCTATTTATATTTTAAGAATTAAGAAAATTCATTAAAATATTAAAAATAAATTTCATTCTTAACGAAAAATAAAAATTGTGTCTTTCATGAAATATATTTCTAGTTGAATGTTAATTAGATAATTAATTCACATTATTTATACACTATTGTTTTGACTATTATTTTACAAATTGTTGACATACATTTTCAACCCAAAAATGTATCATTTCAATCGCTCCACATCGCTTATTAAATATTGTTAATATATTTATATTATAAAAAGCAAATAGAGGAGAATTTGTAATTCAAATTTGAAGATCCCCTGTTCTAAAGCTCATTTTTTAATAAATAATTATTAACGTTTAATGTCATCTCGGTACATTGAGAATAAGAACTCTTGTGTTGAATCTGTCATTATTAAATCTTTAACATATTGGTTCTCTTTATTTCTCTTTTTACCATAAATATAAATATTTTGAAGATTAAAATACTTTAGCATATTTTTTGATTAGTTTATTTTTTTTTATTATTACTTTTTTTTTTTTTTTTGTAAACAATTTTCTAGTTAGTCATTAAAATTAATTAACCATTATTTTAAAGTAGCATTAATATGTTAACAATTTTGTCAATTATAAATTCAAAAAATTATAAATACTCTTTATACTTAACAACTTAATTTAAGATTTGTAGCATTGGGAGTGTATAGAGTATAGAGTCGTTTAAAATTCTTATATTGTATACTTATAAAAATGCGATACTTCCACATTTTTATTCCGACGTAAATAAATTCCATAAAATTATAATTCAATTTATTTAAAAGTGTATTAAACGAATATAGTGATAGTGTAGTAGAGCGAATGAGTGCAACGTGACTCCTATAAAAGATTATCCGAATAGCTCATCAAAAACACCTAAAGTTCATTATTTCTGAACTTGTGCCAACTATTAGTTTCTCATACCGAGGATTTCATTCTTTTCCCGCTATTTTTTCAGTAGTTTTTGTAATATTTCACTCCCGTAGTCTCAGATTTTCTCTCAATTAGTCTGATTATAAAAATAAACGACACAATGCTTCTTTGCTACTTCTATGCTATTTATTCGTGCTCTCTGTCACCTCTCTCTCCTTTTCCCATATGCGATTACTCTATATGCAGTTTTCTTAAGATACTATTCTTATTGAGAATTTTCTAATTAGTTTGTTTGTTGTTGTGTTGACATTTAAGCAGAACATCCGTGATAAAGATCGAAAAACTTTCTTCATTGCTCTTGTCATGTATAAAAATATTTAAACTATAGAATGCCGAACTTTTCAGCTTGACGTGAATGTACATTTTGATGTCTTTTTTTTTTTTTGTAAACACAGATGGCAGTGAGGAGAAAATAATTAAATTGGAATAACAATTGACAATTAAATTAATCACATTAATTTATATTTATAATGATTATATAATATAATCGTGTGATTTATTTTTCTAATTATGGAATGAGTTCTGTATAAAGATGACATCTTCTACTCATAAAACATCTTGTATCTAGTATAAATTTTCATTTCAATTCTATAAATTTTAAAAGTTAATATTTATAACTTTAAACAGAAAACTATTTTTCATAAATGTTTATGAGTGAACATCAATGCGAACTTTAATAGTGAACTTTAATCAAGTAACTATGACGTATGAAAAATTTAATCTCAATTTATTATATTTTTCTTATATCATTTATAATTTATAGGGAGCTTAATATAATTCCACAATCTATTATTATGTTTAATAAGCATTTATCATTTTATAAGAAAATTATTGTTCTTTCTGCCCTTACAATGTAAATTATAAATAAATTTGTTTCGTGTTGTGTAGATTATTTTTCCTTTGCACTTCACTGACATGATGGACCGTGTCGACGTGGAAGCAAGAATCACTGGTGGTGGACCATCAGGACAATCTGGTGCAATACGCTGGGGAATCGCATGGGCTTTGCGTAGTTTCGTTGATTTAAATATGATTCAGAAGATGAAAGTCGGTAAATATATTGTTGTATTTTAAGTTTTATGTAAAGTATATATTTTTACAATTCTTCGTTTATATAAAGTTTATCCTTGTATTTAGAAAAATGTAAATATATTTCGCATAAAAGTGTTGATAGAAGTATTTCAGTTGTATATAATACAATTTTCATATTTTTATTAACTCTTATATGACTTTGCCCATCATTCATCATTATTATTTATACAATTTTATTTCAATTTGCTTATATTTAACAAATTTAATAATTGATTCTCTCAATGCTTCAATATAAAATGTTGCTTTTTTCATTATAGCTGGATTAATTACAAGAGATTGGCGTATTCGGGAAAGAAAGAAGCCGGGTCAAGAGGGCGCCAGAAGGAAATTCACTTGGAAGAAACGTTAAAAGAACATCTCGGTTTTAAGTATAAATATTATTAGCATTTACATTTAATACATTTATACTACATTTGTAATTAATAATTAATATTTATAGAATTGTGAAAAAGTCTATATTAAAGTCGTAAGTTAAATAAAAAATTACATTTTGTTAAGTGGTGTAAGTCCGAGTAATTTCATGCCCTGAGCCAAGACCTTCCTTGACGTACACATAAGCAGTAGTCTTTGATTTGCCAACTCAGTTGGTTCGTCCTTAATCCTTAATGCTTTGAGTGCTGTGTTTGTTGCACGACTAAAACCCAAAGCTCACAATTAATTGTAATATCTTATAAAGCATCGAATGAAAGTGTTTGATTTATGACAAGACATTTCATTTTCGTTAGGAAATTTATTTAGATGAAGATTTAAACGAGAGTCAGAAATCGCTTTAAAATTTCACCTTTGATTTGAATTTTATAAGAATCAATAGCAATTTAAAAAATGTAAGTAATAAATTATATCTACGTTAAAACATAAGTTTTTTTTATAAAAATTATGTGCTCTCAATTTTTCAATTCGATTTCTATATTTTAATAATTTATGTAAATTATGCAAAGTTAAATTATGCAAAGTTAAATTATGTTAATGAAAAATGTTTTACCTCAATTGAAATAAATAATTTACAAGTATGTAAGGCTCAAGTTTTTGATAAGATTTTATCAAAGCTTCATCAAATATACCAATATAATAAATTAGATTTTCAGCTTCTGGTTCTGTAAGTAATGATGGAATGCATTCGGAAGCTATTGTAGCTCCAGAATTTTCTTCCAAACTGGCTAGTCTGCTATGAGTATATTGCAACTTAATGCCACTATCGCCACGAATCTGGCAAAACATTTTACTTTCAGAAAATATTAATAAAAATCATGTTTATGTGAATTTTTTACATTTAATTTTAATTTATGCTTACATCCAGAGCTTTGTTCCAGTCAAACTCATAGTCTTGATTTCTTTTATGCCTTAAATCATTGATAATTACTGCCGAGAGACCTAAAATTTCTGTGCTTGGATCATTATAGTTTAAATTAATCTTTGTATCTGAAATGCAGTACAACTTTATGTTAAAAAAGAACTTATTTTATGTAATACATAGTTAAGATAATTTAACATAATATATAAAAACAATATTAGGCTTACTTGGACTTTGAATTTGTTTCTGTTTCATGACAGCTTGTATCTCATTTAATAAATCTTGTAGAAATACAGAAGTACCCTTTCTTGTACTCATACCTTTGATTTTACCAAATTTAATGTGTTTCAATTTGTTAGCCCACGTTAATTTCATAGCATTTAAAATTTCTATTAGATTTATAAAATGATCAGTTTGTGTATTGTCTACAACATAATACATAATATCAAATTTATACTGTTCGTATCGATTAACCGCTGCTGCAATATCTCTTGTAATATACAACGAAGAACCATCACTTTTAATTATAGGAACAATTCTTTTTTCATTTAAATTTATGACCGTCCTATCTTTACTATCGATAGAAAGAAGATCTAATCTTTTTATTTCAGATATTAAACTACTTATTTCTTTTATGTTATATGCAGATTCCCATTGATACTCATCAAATTTGATCCCTATTCTTTCATAAATTTTTGTTAACTCTTCAAGCGTATATTTTTTGAACGCTTTCCATTGTTTAAGACTAGATTCATTTCCATTCTCTAGGTCCTTAAAAATTTCTCTAGCTCGATCAGCAATAGTCGCATCAGTCTCTGCTAATTTGTTAGCATAAACATAAGCATTGTATAATACATTTATAGGATCTTTTTTTATGGCTTCGTCTGATATTTGACATAAAGATAAGCCAAGTCCTACATAACCAAATTGAGTACCCCAATCACCTAAATAATTAATTGTTTTTATATTGTTGTTAAAAAATTTATTTATATTTGTAATATAATTTCCTATTATAGTTGAGCGTAAATGACCTACGTGAAAAGGCTTTGCAATATTTGGAGAGCTGAATTCAACAACTACATTACTTGGTGTTTCGTATATACAATTTGGTGCAGTTATTTTATGATTTAAGGACTCCAGCAATTCTTTGATATAATGATTTTTGTAGAGTTGAAAATGAATTTCTTTTGAATCATTTTTAACGCTTTCAATATATTCGAATAATCGATCAGATTTATTCTTTAAAATGTTTGGAACATCTTTGCGAATGTCATGGTACTTTGATCTTAAAGGAAATGCAAAATAAAATTTTTTGCTAGAATTATCAAATTCCAATCTTAATGATGTATATATGATATTTAAATTGGTGGACTCGTTATTCTGTAAACCTTGACAAATCTGAAATTAATTTAAGTGAAATATTTAGACAAAATTGTCTGTACGTAAATTCAATGAGACAATATTAACATACCGTTTTGTACAATAACGATCTTAAATTATGACACATTATGTCCTATAACATGTAAGTAGAACAATATAGATATTTTTAAATTTATTTAAATTTTAAATAACATTCTAACGTTTAATGACAAATAACCCGGTGTTTTATAAGCAAATATTGACTTTTAGGTTAAATATCTAATTACGGTACTGCTCATTCGTGTGGCTGATTTCCGGTTTTTGGTATTTAAATCCATAATTATTTACTGCTTTCCCCGAAGTATATTTAGTGAACATTTCATTAAAGAAAATAATATTCGTGTTAAATATAATCTTATGTCGACTGATGTACTTCGTTTATCTTGTACAATAAAATATAGGAGTTAGCTAATTATCAATTAGAAAAATCGGATAAAATGACATTTGAAAGCTTCTAATAGTCTGGTAACTATCGTTTAAAAAAAAAATATTTTTTGAAACATTTTTTTATTGAACAAACTTTGATAAACACATTGTTACAAAGTAGCATGCGAATACAAAATATATACCGTATATTTATCCGTAATAAAGCAATAAATTTTTAAATGTTCAAAAGTAAATAAGTCACTCGTAAATAATATTGTAATGGATTTAAAAAATATTTTTGATGTTTAAATTTTATTAAAACAGGATTAACATTTACATATCTTTACGTTATTTACATCATTGCACGCATAAACGCGCGCGCGCGCACACATGCACGCGTATATATATATATATATATATATATATATATAGATTCATAAATATGGGAAATTGTTAACGTACATTTTATTACAAACGAAGCTGTTTTAACGATGGATTTTTCGTATGAATTATGAATTTCGTGTATTATAATAATATCTTATCTAAGAAATATTGATAAAAATGTAAAAGAATACTTTAAAATAATTTGTCATCCCCAATCACCGAATTCAGAAAAATACTAAACATTGCCAGTTTTTTCATAATTCATATCAATTTTCTTGATCATTGCATCAATTGATATGTAAACTAGCGCCCTCTTTCGGGCTAACTGTCAATTCACAGAACAAATCCTCGATTCCCGCTCACTTGTTCAAACGAACACCTGTAATGAAACGCATTGTCTGCATCTATCTCGCGGTGTTCCATATATGCAAGTTTGAATGATTAAAGGGTGGTGAGATGGGGAAAGAGCGTGAGTGAGGCGAGGGTGGGAGGGTGGGGTGGGAGGAGTGGGAGGAGGTGGTAAACGCACAATAGGAAACATGGGAGCAGGTGGATTGGGGTGGGATGGCGGCGGTATAGCCGGCGGCCGCCATTTTACACAATACAATAGAATCGCAACTCGTGGGAGTCCCGCCGATTGTCGTCTTTATCGGCGCGTAACTGCTTATACGCACGCACGCACGCACGCACGCACGCACGCACGCATTGATATGCACGTAAGCAGTCACCTGCGGTAACCTCAGTTAAAAACTCCTATTAGATTCGCACGACCTGAGAAGATCTCGTCTCATTCGCACGGGAATTGAAACGAGAATGTCGAGTCCAAGTACGAATTCAGCCTTGACCAGCAACGTCATCGCGAGAGTCAATATAAAAAAAAGAGAATCAAGCGGTACTCGCGACGGGCGCGCATGCGTTTATATGTAAGTGCAGAGGCTAGAAGTCCGACTCGTTAGGAAAGGAAAGTGAGTGCGCAGACTCGGCGGCGATCGAAGGCGGCCGCTATATCGCTGCTGCTACTGTTACTACTGCCGCAACTACCACTACAACTGCAATAGCGGCCAAACGGACGTAGTCGGAGACCGGAGTGGTAGTTGTGCTTCGACCAGTCGCCCGGAGAAGTGCCGAGGAGCGCAGGAGACGACGACAGAACGCGCGCGCGTCGCGTCTTCTATCCTTCGTCGTGGTGTGTCTGTGCGCCCCCTCCGTCTCACGACTCCTCGACGTTCCTGGCCCGCCGCGCGCTTAGCTCTACTTCCTCGCTAACGTACAGTGGTACACATTCACTCTACCTGTAAATCTCTACATGTGTACATACATGCCTCCGCGTGTATCAGAGCGAGCCCCTATGCCTACCTCTGCACATACACCTTTTCCTGATTACCTTTTTTCCTTCCGACAACTCCCTCTGCCCTTCTCCAAAGTAAGTATTACTTCCACCGTTGACGAGACGAGGAGGCACATATGTAAATACTCGTACGCTCGCATATATATATATATATATATACGCACACGCGCGCGCGCGCGCGCACCCGCGCGCACACACACACACACACACACACATATATATATATATATATACACACATGTGCTTGCACACACATGCGCGCACACACACGAATATTTAAATAAATGTGTGTGTGCGTGTGCGTTCCAGCGTGCGTGCGTGTGTGTAAGTATATTCCGGAAGGAAGACCGCCTGATCGTTATCAGAATGTGCGCTCGCTATCTCCTCTTCTTTCCTTTTTACTCTCTCCTTCTCCTCTTCCCCTCCTCAAGGTCTCTCTCTTCATCTCTTCACGCTTCCTCCCCTGTCCTTTCTTTTACTCTCTCTCTCTCTCTCTCTCTCTCTCTCTCTCTCTCTCTTTCTCTGTCTCTTTCTCTTTCTCTTTCTCTTTCTCTCTCTCTGTCACTCTTTTTATTCAAGTTCTAATAGAAATCTCCGTGTGAAGTGGTGGTTCCCTTTTTATGTGCACATACTTACGTTTTCGTAGATTGAAAGAGAGAGAGAGAGAGAGAGAGAGAGAGAGAGAGAGAGAGAGGGAGGAAGGGAGGGAGGGATATCGATGTAATGATAGATAGATAGATAGAGAGAAAGAATTTTGTGCGAGTGTGTGGGTGTGTGGGTGTGCGTGTGATAGTGTGAGTGAGAGTGAGTGAGCGGTGAAGGGGGCTGGAAGGGGGAGGAGGAGGAATAGAGACGGTAGTGGGCGAGAAGTCGTTTAAAACGGAAAGTGCAAGGTGTGCAATACATAGCGTAAGGTGATTTTGCAACAGTGAATTTTTGTTCAGTTCCGTCGCCAGCTCCCCGCCGGTACGTGCTAACCATCATTAAAAGAGGAATAGAGAGGAGAGGAATAAACAGAGGCGAACTCATCATAGGCAGTATGGCGGGACAGACGATAAACGACAGATTACTGGCTGCGAGGCACAGCCTAGCCGGTCAGGGCCTCGCCAAGTCCGTATGCAAGGCCACCACCGAGGAGATGATTGCACCTAAAAAGAAGCATTTGGATTGTGAGTCCTCTTGTTATACGCCACTATAACGATTTATTTTTCATTTATATCATTTATACACACCCGCGTCTCACGGTCCCCTTGCTACGTACGATCGCAAACCTTACGACATCCGCGAATTAGTCACTTGGAGCCTTGGATCGTCGTGCAAGGATGACGATGCGTTGCTTTCCCATATTGACGAGCGTGAGAATTCACTCGATGCGATGTCAATGTTAACGTGGACTACAGATTTGGCAATGGGCGCGGGTAATTTTTATATTACGAAATTTACTGTACTCGCAACTGGGGTCGCTCTCTCGTGTGTTAGGTGCTCTTTTGTACTTTAAACGAGTTTTTCACACTTGAAAGGGAACGTGTTTGTGCAGGATCTCTAGGTTACAGACACGTCGACTTTGTGTGTTATTAGAATTTCACGAAATTCCCTTTCCACAATCGCGACCACCACTGCCTGTCGACATTTTTTCAAAACCATTACGAACAATTGTATAATATTCACAATGTTTTTTATAATAAAATCAGCTACTACTTTTATCCTAGGATCAATTTCGAATATATGTGCGTGCGTGCGCGCGCGTGTGTGTGATATATTTTTTTATTAAAAATTATCGACCAATTACGAGCAAATATAAAAATATAGTTTTTAATTAATTGTTACTATCGGAGAATAAATTTAATATCTTAATCATACTTTTTTGTATTTGCAAATAGCAAAGTGATAGTTTTCTCTATTAGGACGTCCTTAAGATTCGAATAACTCACTCGAGCATTGGTCGGTCGTGTGTATATTTGAATTCATCGATTATTAATTGCGCAAAATTTTGAAGCGTCTAATCAATAAACCAAACGGGATTGACATTTTTTACCTTCAAAGAAAGATTTACCAAATCAAGTCATCTTAGCTCAAGTAAAAGCTATTTTGATAATTAAGTTGGCCACGTGATCAAACTATAGATGAAGTTTAAAAGCACTTGATAATTAAAAATCACGTAGTCTAGTTAATTGTATTGTTACTTGTATCGATAGCTTTATTAATTTTTTTATTTCTTTTTTTTTATTTATTTATTTATTTTTGTTTATATACGCTACGTAGTGCTTTTGGCACAAATCGATGCTTTTAAATCTTGTTTCTTTATATGTTTCGACACGAGTAACCATAGTAATTTCCATGAGCGTTATAATAATTAACGTCTGTCGCGTTAATCCGATCGCTGATATTTTAATGGCGACTATTTTCTCTGGCCCTAACAGTTCTATTTAATGTATTAAACATTACCGAACAATAATAGCAAATTTTCAAATCAAATTTACAATAATGGCCTAGGGTATATACCATTACGTATAATACGAAGATGGAATTTCCTTTCGTATTATATATTTATATTATAAGACTGTTCGAACTTTATTTAGTCGAACTGGACGATATTGATGAACTAACATTGATGAACATTCAAATAATAAAAATAGACCGTTGGGAAGAGAAGGTTTGTTACCACCGATAATAAAATTAGCCAAATCCTCGTATATTTTATACGTCTCTCTAGCCACTATTGTAAATGTTTCGATGTTCTTCATTGGTTATGTCATGATGAACATGCGTGAATACAATTGGAAAGCTTAATAGATTACACAGGTTTTATTGATTTCTTAAGTGCAGCTAGTAATATTTAATGATATAAACGTATGGATAAATGTTATTATCAATGCACAACATATCGTTTAAATTATTACATAAATTTTGATATTTTCAATAGGAAATATACGTAATATTTTTCGAATTGCTTAGCCGTCTTTATATATTATTTTTTATTGTAATTGTCTATTCAAATTACTTAATAATTGTTGTATAATTATTTCTGAAATAATATAACAAGATTTTCTTTTTCAACACTAGAAAATTAATATAAAAATTCAGACACGCGTGATAGTTTTCTAATGAAATTTTCCTTTCTTTTGTGTCGATAAAATATACATTAAATAACACATGGTATATAATGTTTTTGTTTACCTCGATTTATCGTTTATATATTTTTATGAATATCATCGTTACATAATATTGATTATATTTTTATTTATTTCAATTTCATTTGGTAACATTAAATATAGTTATTTTATATTAATATAACACTTTTACAGGAATTCTTTTCAAGAGTAGGAAATTTGATTTTTATGATCAAAAAGAAAAAAACATAATAGAAGAGAGAGTAATCTTTAATAGGTGATCAAGTTTCTTTTGCATTTTATGCAATTTATAGTCGACAATGACTACAATCGAATGAAAATAATATAAGGAAATAATATAAGACGTTATTTCTTATAGTTTCAAATTATAAAAAATTATTCTTATATTATTTCACAAACTAATGCAATTATGAAATATTTAAACTTTATTTATTTTTTTTTTTTTTAATTATTGCTGTAAATTATAGCTATTTGTAATATATTTACAATATTGAAATTCTATCTCTTCTGCAAAAAATTCCGAATGGAAAATAATTATAAAAATTAAAAAGATTTTTTAATACGATATAATATAATTCCCATCGTATATCAATTAAATTTGAAATACTTTTTTCATTCTTCGAGTGAGAGAGGTAATAAAAGAGGAAAGAAATTAAAAACAGCTTAATAGGCAAAATAGATCGGATTTTTTCTACCGTAATATGTTTGTTTAATCAATGTAATATAATGATATAAATAATTGACAAACGCTTTAAAATTATATTTGAATTTTAATTATGTTTCCGATAACTTTTGAAACTTTCTTGATTGAAATGACTATTTACAGATAATGAAGGTTTGTAATGTCTTAACAATATATCTAACGTGGCATAATAAAGTATTTACGATATATTAAAATATTATATATTTTAGAATTAACCACGTCAAATATATTCAAATAATTATTAATGAAAAACATTGATTTTTGTGCGTTTAGTTTTGTGAGTTTAGAAAAAAGCAACCGATTGCTTTGACAAATATAATTTTTTAAATTATCATGGATTCGATTTCATTGAATTTTGAGATACGGTGCACGTAGTAGGAATTTTGATTTAACATTTCCATGCTAATAACAGTAATTTAATGTTTGGTTCCATTTTATAATGTGTGTTCAAGTCATGTAGAGTCCAAGACATGACAAATTATACAATTATTGAGATAGTATATTATCACTACTATATACTTTAATAATTAATTTAAAGATTTCATAAATTTATTATTATTTGTTATTTGTATTTGATATGTATTAATGGTTTGATTAAGTATTAAAAATGTTGTATGAACAGTAAAAAATCATTCGTTACAAAATATAGTTACAATTTATACAAGTGTATTGTAAGGAAATAAAAGAAAATAATTATTTATAAAATTTATTTTTTATTAGTTTTGCATATTATCAAGTAATGCATTTTGCTTTTGTATAATTATAATATACTACTTTTATGCAAATTAATAAATTTGAATTATTGATTTATTGATTAAAACGTATATAATATTTAAAAATCTAATTCTATGAATTATCTGTAGATGAATGTGAAAGGCTATGTGCCAGTAAAATTATATAAAATACTAATTATTACATAAATTTATCTTATAAGCGAATACATGAATTGTATCAGTTGACAGTCATAATAGTCATTGAACCATTACGTAAACTAAACCGTGCAAAGCTTTAATCATCAAAACCGTTCGTTCGTTTAATAATATAAATTAACATGCACTGCTACCATTTAGTAGTAATTTTTATTTTTTATTAGTTAGCTTATATATTAAAGTATGCATTATCGTTAAATTTGTTTAAAAACAATATATTTCGAAATATAGGACGCTTTTATAGTAAATAAATGAGAAGTTTATTTGAGGAATATTTTTGTCATTTTACTTTTCCTCTTATCATAAAGTCCCGATGGTACAATAATTTTATTGAAATTTTTGTCATTTTACTTCATTTTTTATTCTTATAAAAAATATTTTTATAGCACTATATAGATAATCAAATAGTTAATTGTAGCGCGGGATAAAATATTTTGTATTAAATTAAGTTCAATTCGTTTATAAAAAAAAAAAGTTATTATTAATTATATGGAGATCCATTTATGTTGATCATAATGTTACTTTCGCCTTGAGATATTACAGTGTTTGAGGAAATAAATCGAAAAATTAATATATGAATTCTTACATGGACAATGGAAAAAATAATGAATATTTCGAAATTTCGAAAACCACCAATTCATAACAAATCTAATTACTTGTTGAATTGTTTATTTTTAAGCCACATGTTATAATAATAATGTTAGTATTAAATATGAAAAATTACGTAATTGTAAAATATTAGATAATTCTTTTTTTCTTTATTTCATATTTATAATTATTTAGAATATAATTCGTAAATATTAATGGAAGAAATCTTTCAAAGCGATTAACGAAACGTCGCTATTGAATTACCAAGCTGATGGATAAAGTTAAAGGCGTCCACCGATAAAACAAAAATATATAATAACCGAAGACAAGATCCAAGTGCAATAAACAATGCACCTATGCGCGTACTAGGATGAAGTCGCGCATCGTCGTCGTGGTAGTCGACCAGTGATAAAGGGAGAGAGTGAAGATGCACCGGGGGAAAGACTGTTCATATTATGGTTATTGCCGTTCTTTGCAGAGGCTCGGGAACGTTATGAAAGAAACGCGCCGGGCGTCGGGTGAGGGGGGGGGGATAGAAAGGAGAAGAGAGGCTCGAGCTGGCGAGATACAAACCGGGGGATGGGGAAGATATTGAAGTAGGCGAAGGAGAGATGCGAGACGGGGCCAAAGTCAAGTCGTGACAGAGTTTTGCACACGCGCAAAAAATAGGGCTAGGAAAGAGGAGTTGAAGAGAGAGAGAGAGAGAGAGAGAGAGAGAGAGAGAGAAAGAGAGAGTGCCGTGAGACATGTCGTCGAGGCTCGCCGTTTGACGGTAACAGTTTTGTGAAATTGCGTTAGCGCGTTAACGGGACACGTCA